TGTCTAACGCTTAAAGTATATTCTAGCGCAATGTTAATTAGATTTTCTAGGACCTACTAGATAACTTTGTATCTACTTACTTTAACAATATCTTAATTTTTATAGATAGCTCTCTATTTTAATACTATACCTACGTATAATAAGCAATTAAATAACTATAAGTAGTAAGACTAGAACTTAAATTAGATAAGTGCGAATTTAATATCTAACGTATAAAGTATTTAGGGTTTATCCTTAAAGTAAGAAAAGGGATTGTAATAGACCTAGAGAAGACAAAAGCTATCTAAGAATAGGAACCCTCTACGTCTATCTAAGGCGTATAAGGTTTCTTAGGATTTACTAACTTTTACTAAAGGTTTATTTAATACTTCTTACGTTTAGTAGACCCTCTTATATAACTTACTAAGAGAAACGCTAAGTTTTAATAAGGCGCTACTTAAGAAGAGAGTTTTGTAGCTCTTAAAGAAGCATTTCTTTTAGACAAAGTACTTGTTGCATTTAACTCTAAACGCTATATAGTAGCAGAATGTAATTCTTCTAGTTAACCCTTAGGAGCTATACTTTTATAAGAAGATAATAAAGGCACGCTTTATATAGTAGCTTCTCTCTTTAGGAAACTACTTATTTATAAAGCTAATTACCTTATTTATCATGAGGAACTGCTAGTAGTAATCTACTGCCTAAAGGAACAGGACGCTAAACTCTATAGCGTACGAGAGTTTGAAGTTGTTATAGACTACAAGAACTTAGAATACTTTACCTATAAGTAGAAGCTATCTAAGCGCCATATATAATAGAACTTAGAGCTTGCTTACTTTCTAAATATAAAGTTACGCTAATATCTAGGCAAGGATAAAACAAAAGCAAACGCGTTATTTTACTAAGATTAAGATATGCTTAAGGACAAAGGAGACAAGTATGCCTTCTCTTATAAATTTACAATGCTAGTCCTAGCTTATACGCTAGACTACGTTCTAGCACTACCTATATAGACTTAAGAAACCTCTTTAGTATTAGAAATACTACCTTAACCCTTAGACCTTCTAGCTTTAGTACAAGAATATTAGGTATAAGTAGCGTAGGACGATACTATCTACTAAGAAGTACTAGCCTCTATATAAGAAGGAAGATAATTGCTCTCTAGCATGCGTAAGGTTGCTATCTCGCTAAGTAACTATATAATTAACTAAGAAGAACAACTCTAATAGCGTAGAGATGTGTAGGTGCTAGACTTTAAACTATTACGAATAGGAGTTATCTATGTAGCTTACTTATCTCTTCTAACTAGACATCCTAGATAAGAAGAGACCTATTAGATTGTTATACAAGAATAGTACTAGCCTTCTATAAGTAATAACATACAACGCTTTATACAGAACTATAAGCTATGGTATAAAAGCACTTCTTAGCAGGATAGAAAGTTTAGTTACTTAAAGCCTCTACCTATGCCTAGTTATATGTAGCAGCACCTTATAGTCAATTTTATTATAGGCCTTCCTAACTTTCTTAAGAATATAAACTTAATAGTAGTAAAGAACTAATTAGGGAAAGGTGTTATACTAGTTCCTATAAAAAGGATTAAAATAATAGACGTTACTAAGGCTTTTATACAAGAAGTCTACCACTACTATAGCCTTCTATAGTCTATCACGTCCAACTGCAGCCCCTAGTTTACAAGCTAACTATAGGAAAACATCTATAAGCTACTAAATATTTAGTAGAATCTCTCTATAGCTTACTACTTATAAACAGATAAAACAATAGAGCGAGCTAATAGCAATATAGAAGTAGTTGGATAAATCATTTATAACTATAACTAAGATAATTAGGCTTAGCTTTACCCTCTTCTAGAACTTATACTCAACTCTTATAAAAACGCCTCTATAGGTGTATCCCCTTCTTTCTCTACTATAGCTACTATAATACCTTACTTTCTTAAAAAGAAGCTATCTTAGACAACTAAGAAGTAAGTGTAGTAGCTAAAGAGATAGTACGTATAATTAGTAATGTAGTAAACTAGGTAGTTTTAGCAATATTATACGCCTAATAAGAGTAAGAGAAGTAATCAAATAAATCTTATAAACTATTACCTGCTTATAAAGTAGAAGACTAAGTCTAGCTAGACTTATATAATATTTAAATAGCCTAGATATATCAAAAGCTAGACTAGAAATGTAGAAAGTACTAAGTTGCCTACGTATAGGACTCCTACTAGGTAGAACTTATAGTGCTTTAGGAGATAAAACTCTTCTACGTAGATAACCTAAGGCTAGTATCTAATAACTTTTTACTATTATAATAAATAGACAATAGTAGCCCTATAGCTATTGTTGTATAAGAAGATAGAGAGGAAGAAGACTATTTAGAATAGCTTATATAAGGCATTATAGATGAACGAATATAGAATAAAGAACTATAATATCTTATTATTTAGATAGGCGACCTAGAGGGAAGTTAGGAACTAGCTATAGCACTTAAAGACATAAAAGCCTTAAATAAAAAGCTCGCCTAAACTTCCTTTTTATAAAAACCTAATAGCTAGCTATAAAATAGCTAGAGGCAAAAGCTACTTAATAAGTCGTAGAGACCTAGCGCTACCTCTAGAGGCTAAATAATCTCTTTTAGTGCCTAGAAGACAACGCTTAGCTAGCATATAAACAAATAAACTATCCCCTCCTTCTGCTATACAATAGGCGCTATAGTCCTGCTAGATGTAATTGCTACACGCACTCCTTTACTCTCTATAGATAGAGACACAACTAGCAAAGGCTATAAACTCTTTCGCCCTATCTAAGATTAGCGCATAGTTATTATAAAATATAGCATTAAGGGCGCTACGCGAATAAACAAGGAAGGCCTTAAGGTATAAGGGTTAGCCACCTAAGATTTAACGGGCATAGAGCGTTGTATAGGCAACAATAGGCGAATAACTACTAAGGCTTAGACTAAAGGTAGCATTATATAGTAATAGCCCTCTTAGATAGCAAAATATATTAAAGACCTAGCAAAGCTTAGGCTATACTAGTTAGCTAATTTAGATGTATAATAAGGAAGCAACACTTATGAAAGTAGTAGCAAATACTTAGTAAATCTTTTTAGTAACCTATATGTCAAAATGTACTAGACCTAGTAGCTATTAAAGTTAACTTATTTAATAATAATAGGCGCTATAGCCTAGATAGCACCTAGCGTTATATAAGTAAGTAACTGATAAGTAATATTAAAGATCTAAGTAGTTGCCTGCTTAATAGTGTTATTAACTCTACTATTTATATAGAAATGTAAGGCGTTAACCTGGCTATTAGCCTATATCTTATAATTAGCTATTATATAAGAAGACTTAAGAAAGTGACTAAAATAAGAAAAAAGTTAAAGCTAAAGGGATAGAGGTAATAAGTAGTAAGTAGAGGAAGAAGAGTATCTATGCTCGCTAGACAGCGTTTGCTATATAGCACTATTACCTAACTCTTTTTTACTTTTACTATTTGCCTTTACCTTAACTATATAAGACGCTAAATATATCATAGCAAATAAACAAAGAGAAAGATAAAGAAGACTAAGGAATACGCACGTAATATTAGATAAGGTAAAGAAGGGGAGTATTATAAAGGGCTACGCTAGAGAGGTATGAACTATAGGTTATATAGTGATAAATTACATAACTTTAGTTACATAACTAAATAACGTAGTTAGCTACGTATAAATAAGCTTAAGTAAGAAGAAAGACTAAAGGTCTAAGCGTTTATACGAGTAATAACGATAAAAAGAGGGCCCTCTAGATAGTTCTTTTCTATATCTTTCTTCTTCTGTACAATAGGTGAATGCATACTCGTTAGTTAGGCCTCTCTCGCCCATAACAGTATTCATGCCTTACTACTTTCTACCTTTTCTATTAGCTATGTTATTTAAAATAATATATCTTTATTTGTTATATTATATCTTTCTTATAATAAACTTTAATACTGTATTAAGAAATATTACTATATACTATTATAGCTATTAGAGTTTATTTGGAACTCAAGTCGCTGTTCAAGTACACTAGTTTTACATTACAAAGTTGTATTGTGATATGATACTAGGTTCTAGAGAAGTATTAAGATATGAAATCTTTTATACTTATAGTCAATATATGGAATAAACTAAAAGCACTATAATAGAATTCAAAACTAGATCCCTTTTGATATGAATATACTCTTTACTATATATTGTAAAATTCTACAAAGAAATATAAAGACAACGACTACTTTATTTAGAAAGTAAAAGGGACTTATGTATCAAAGTTTCTTGTTATTTATATTCTAGTGTATGTATCTTTATTAGTGTGCTTGGTGATTAACAGGTAGGTGTACTACGCTAGACTAGTCAATAACTACCTTCTGAATTACTACTTTCTTTATGTCTAGCTTTTTCAATTGCTAAGCTACATTAGTTTTTAATGTCCTATTTTCTCTATTATAACTTTGTACTATCACCCTTTGAATATGGAATTTGTATATATTATAATAACATCTAAGGGCTAAAGGAGATGTGTACAAAGAACTAGAGATCTCTATCTAATAGCTAAAGGACAACCACTGTCTACTAGTACTATTAGGGTTTTGTTCAATACTGTAGAGTAAGGAAGGGTAAAACAGGTATCATATATACTTATATCTGTATCCTGTCTGGGTATCTAGAAGAGGAAAACCTAAGTATGAATAACCTCGGGTGATATTACAGACTAGGCCCTTGGACGGAAGAGGCTTCGTTCCAGAGCCGTTGTATAGGCTGTCTTGGTCTTTCCAGCTAGCGATTCAGTATCATCATAGTGGCTAACTTAAGACTTACGTTTTGATCTGCTCGGCCCGATCCTCAAAATCAGGATTTCCAATACAACGGACGAAAAATGGAGGGTTTTTATCCCTCAAGCTAGATACCCTGTATCCTTGAAACATAAATAACGGGGGCCCTTTGCATTCTGCTAATATCAACATGAACAACAATTGCCGATCAACTTCACAATGACCGTCCCTAGCTCATCGAGCAATGCTGATGTTAGATCTGGGCCATCCCTAGATTCCGTCAAACAGGCCATTCCGATCATCACAACAGTATCACTGGCGATTGTTGCGCTCATCTCGTTTCTTGTTATCTCTCATCAGTCGAAACTACCCGTTGTAAATGGCCCAGGATGGTTCGAGCTAACCACATTCAAGCGATTGAACTTCATGAAAAATGGGGCAGATATCCTAAGAGATGCCAGAAAACGATATCACAGTCAGCCATACAATCTCGTCATGAGTGCTGGATTGATCACGATGCTTCCTCCCAAGTATGCCCAAATAATCCGTAATGACCCTCGGTTGTCGTTTGGGCATTCATTCGCACGTGTGAGTATTAGAGCGCGGCTTGGTCAACTTTCGGGGAACTGACAGGACCTGCAGGATTTTGCAGGTGATGTACATGGCCTAGAGCCATTGAATACCTTGGCAGACCAAAGGCGACTCGTACAATTGGTGATACAAAAACAACTTACCAAACACCTGAGTAGGAATTCAATACACCCATAAACGTTAGACTGTGATTTTAAAATGACAACTTTAGACTCTGTCACCGAACCTCTTTCTAAAGAGGCCACTTTTGCAGTTGATAAGATCTTTGGAAATGACCCAGGTATATTGCTCCATGCATAATTTGATGTTTCTACATTAATCATGTGTTAGACTGGAGAGAGATTCGAATCACCGACTCCATTCTTCAACTGGTTGCCCGGCTATCAACCAAGGTTTTCCTAGGAGACAAGCTATGCCGGAATGAATCTTGGCTTCAAGCTTCCAAGGAGTATACTCTTTACTCCTTCAGAGCTGCACTCTCAGTCATCTTCCTGCCCTCACCACTCAAGTATCTCATGTCCTTCTTCTCGAATGATGTTAGACTTGCTAAACAAAGCCTCACCAAATCCCGTAATGTTCTAGAGCCAATTATCCAAGAACGTAGAAAGGCCAGGACGGAAGCTATCAAGAATGGCGAGCCGGCCCCTGCTTACAATGATATGCTAGACTGGCTTGATCAAGAGAGTAAGGGGGGATCATATGATCCTGTTCATTACCAAATGGTTCTGTCAGCTGGAGCAATTCATACTACTTCAGACCTCCTGGGCCAGACAATAATGCGTTTGGCTCAAGAACCCGGATGGATTGCAGAGTTGCGAAAGGAGATTATTGAGGTCCTCAGCAAGGACGGCCTCACTAAGGCCGCCCTTGCTAATTTGAAGCTTATGGACAGTGCCCTGAAGGAGGCAAGCAGATTAATCCCGATTTCTGGTAGTGAGTACTCCTTATCATTGATTGCCAGATGCCTTGTAGATGATGTACTAATGGGGGTATGAAACTAGTGTTAATGAGAAGGTTAGCAAAAGAAGACATCACTCTTCCAGAGGGAATCGTGATCAAGAAGGGCCAATTCCTCGCTGTGGATGGTATTGAAGCATGGAAAGCAAAGAATTATCCAGAACCTCTCAAGTTCGACATGTACCGGTTTTACCGGTTGCGACAAGACCCTTCCACCGCCTCTAAGGCCCATCTTGTTTCCACTAGCCCTGAACACTTGGGATTTGGACACGGAGACCAGGCATGTCCTGGCCGTTTCTTCGCCGCCAATGAGATGAAGATTGCTCTTTGCCATCTTTTTCTCAAATACGATTGGGAACTCACTCCTGGAGCAAATCTGGAGCCGTACCACGTGTACGGCGACGTTTTTACTTTAGACCCAAATAACGTCATTCGATTTCGGCGCCGCAAGGAAGAAGTAGATTTAGAGGGCCTTGCATTTATATAGTTATCTTCATCTAGAGAATCTAGTCATTTTTACATCTTCCTTCAAAAAAGATACAAGGAGCTTTCGCTAAGATAGATCACTAGGCTATTAGCTAGTATATAGATTATAGAAACCACACCTCATAAGAACATCTATTATTTACTACGCTTTCCTTAAAGCTTCTTATTTACTACGCTTTCCTTAAAGCTTCTTATTTACTACATCATATTATAAGCTATCATTTCAGGTACCAGCATATAACATTAGCTAATTCTATCTACTACTACCTTTAGCGCCAGATCGGTGTTCTATCTTATGTAGAGCTTACTATACTGTATATTAATAATCTATTAGCTTCGATAAAGATAAGAGACAAGTAGAGTTTGAGCTATCTAGAAGTTCCATAAAGAGATAGGCTTAGGTATAGTTGGTGTTGATTTTCATAGAACTAATTAGGTTATCTTTACATGTTGTATAACTCTAACCCTTGTAGTAATATCAATAATTAAAGAGTAAAATCTTTATCAATAAGCAGTATATCACAGACCTACTTGTCTAAATTTAATAGTCTTCAGATAAGTACATTTCTCTAGAAAGGCGCTATAATCATGGAGACAGACAGTTAACCTTGCCTACGTAGAAACGAAATCTGACCCACATCTCCCTACTCTTGCGCTAAAAATGGATGCCGTCGCACCTAAGCACTTTCACCTTGATATGGAATGAAAGCAGAGATTGCTGACAAGAGTTTTTTTAGAGTCCTATGACGAAATGTGCAACTCGTCAAAACAATCAACAACATTGTTTCATGCTACCTGCTGAATTCGATCCTTTGCCATCTTCTTCGTTTCTTTGGCCCTCCACTTGATATCTCCCGGCTGCGGCCACCGATAATTAACAGGCGACTCGCCACCCACAAAAATACACGTGTCGTACATCAGACCGCCACACAATGCACCGCTAATCGACGCGCCCCACGATCCATATGCCCAGTACCCCGTGGAAAACGCCTCGTCATAGCCAACCCAGTACGCAACGACGCGAGGACCTAGGTCTCGCGCTGGAGAGATACCTAAACCTGTGTTGTACCCTAGGCCGATCATGATGACCATTCCTGTCAGTCCAACGATGAAGGCAGTCATGCCTTGACCGGGGGGAGAGTTCTGGTCATCGCCAAGGGCGAAGACGACGCACACGAAAATGGCCATGTAGACAAAGTCGTTAAAGAAACCAGTGGCCGTCGAGTAAATGGGCCCTTGGGGGAAGAGCGCCTTGCCAGTCATGTCGAGTGTTAGACCAGGATCTACCTGGTGGATTGCATCTGAGTAGAGGCTATCAATCAGTCAGTATATGTTGTCTCCTACGCAAACATCTCAAGTGACTTACGCATATGCAACAGCTCCAGCGGCAAGGCCGGCCAGCAGTTGCATGCATATATAGACGACAGCCATTCGCCAAGGGAAACCGCGGAAGATGGAGAGAGAAATGGAGACAGTCGGACTCAGATGCGATCCACTGACACCGCCGCCGAGGTAGATGCCAATTATGACTGCAAAGCCCCAGCCCCAGGCTTGTGTCTCGAAACTGCCCGTGGCTTGTTGAGATGTGGCAACAGATAAGTTGACGCACAATCCTATGAGCAGGTAGATGAATGTCTGTGAAATGTTAGATGCATTATTTTTGTCAGAAAGGTTCGACATACTGCAAGAAACTCTGCTGGAGCCTGGGGATACTTTGCCCGGAATCTCGCAATAGGGTTCCGGTACTGGTTGTAGAACTCTCTTTCTTCCTGTTGTTGTCGGCCCTGAATCTCAATTTCTTCCTGTTCGGTTCGACTAGTGTCATTTGTGCCTCGCTGTTGTAGCGGTGGGAGGCCATCCTGGAGGCCAAAATGCTGTTGCTGTCCACGGCCATCGGCGTAGTCCAAGCCGTGCTCATTGACTGGTGCTCGGTTTTGGCCCTCGTGATGTTCGTGGCTGCGAGTGCCTGGGTCAGAGTTGCCCCCAAGTACCTGGATGGCTTCGCCTGTCGGTACGCGCTTGACATTTACCCTCCGGCCATCGACCACGGTTTGGAATCGTTCTGTACTATTTGGCCCATCAGCTTGGCGGCCGCCGTTCAAGGTTTCCTGAGAATTTTCCAAATCTTCTTCCAAGACTGCCAGGACTGTGGTTAGAAAGGTCGTGCATCTTCCTAGTCTATATCGCAGCTTACCTTTGCCATTGTCTAAATTCACAGCATCCTGGTGGTCAATGCCACCGTCTTGATCATCGATTTTGTACAAACTTTGGCGCATATCACCTCGTCCCCACCACATGCCACGACGAACTGTGCGTGGCAAGGGAGCGCCCAAGCCAAAGACAGGCTTGGGATTTTGTTCATTGTACCATGGGTTCAGCGTAAAGTAGTCATTTTCAACGTCGACAGTCTGCTGTTGCTTCTTTTCCGGCCGTCGAAGAGGCTCCTGCCTGACGTTTTCACGAGTGGCATGGTTCGTAGGCGTATTGGTCACGGTGCCTATAGGTGCCATGCTAGCGGTGGTATGATTGCGTCCATTCTGGGGCCTGGGGGCTAGGTGCACCGTATCCAGTCTTCTCATGCTTGGGGCATTGGAGCGGCGTTGTTGCAAATTTGTGGATGCAACTGATGTTGCAGTCTGCCGCCTAAGTTCATTTGCCAGGTTACCAGGCCTTTGATGGGAAGAAGCCTGCTGTTGCTGTTGCGCTATCCAAAGTCAGTACATATGTAACTTTGGAGGACCAAAGCCAAAAAAAAATGGCGACATACCACTCTCTAGTGTAGTTGATCGTTGTTGTGGTGACATGGCGCAGAACAGATAGAAGCATAGGGGAGGGGGGCACTTTCGGGATGACCAGATGGTAAATAGCGTTTTGTCATTCCATCATGGGAAAGTCAACAATTCGATGCGCTACGTCACTGGCAGGGAAGTTTTTGCCTAGCCTGTCCATGCGCCCGGTATTTCCGAGAGAAGGCCATGCCGCGGAGCCATGTGTACCAATCGTTTCGACCGATCTTCCTGCTTTAGTGGGCGGGCACTAAGCAAGAGCCTCAATTTTCGGTGGGCATGCGCTGATAGGAAAGTCTTCATCTCGATCAGGCGGCGCCACGGCCAAGTGTGGCGTTGTACAGATCACAGCATATGCTGAACATCGGCATGGTTGCAATGCAATCGGGGTGAGCTTCTCGATCTGCTGCGTCCGTCACCGTCTTTCTCCATGAGCAAGGCCATCATTATCGAGTCTCGCGTAATTGTGGACATGGCCGAGGTATAGCCAGCACACCGACGTGGCTATGGTTGCTACAGGCGACCCAGGGATATTTCTCCGAGGCGATTATATTCTCATAACTACATACGCAACTACTACGAGTCCATGGGGCCCACGTTTGGGCAAAGCTCGATGGCCGCCGGGGTGTGTGGTGGCAGGCCTCTTCCACACGACCTCGCTCCTACGCAAGCCACAGTGTGGCACGCTTGGCCATTCTGGGCCAAACGCTCGCCCATGGACAGAACCGCTACAACCATGTCTCTTCATCTCATGATACTGCCATGAGCTTATTCTGCTCCTGAGCCAAAGTGAGTCCCTCGGGTGCTTGTCGGAAGAGCACAATCTCGGACTGCTTGAAGTACCGCCGCGCGTCTGTATGGCCACACGTTAGTCGTGTTGAAGCAACAGGAGCAACGACTTACCCTCATCAATGAGTACCAGGCTCAGGTAATATCGGGTCGAGTACTTCTTGTTGACTTCTCGGAAGGTGGGTGTCAAGTCGAAACCGCCAAGGAACAGCCTAATAGGAATCGTCTCGCCTATAACCATGGTGAGTTGGGCAAGTTACGTGGCAGAGATTGGCGTGGATTACCTCGCGATGGCGAACCATCCATGATTTCAAAGCGCACCAGTGTCTCGCTCTCGTTGTACTGGTTTGGCGGCGCGCCCGTTGTTTCTCTCCGTATGATGGAAAGTTCCATGTGTTTGATCTTCAGCCGCACCAGCAGAAAGTATATCCTGCCGACAATGACGTCCTTGAGATGGTATTTTGACTTTGAGTATTCAAACTCAATGTGCAGACAATCCTCGATGCCGACGTCCATTTTGATGGAGCTGTTGGTCTCTGGGGGTATGCGGTATGAGTAGACCCACAGGTCCTTTTCCCTGACTACGTCGGCCATGCGCCGCGACACGGTGACGCGCACAAAGTAGCGCAGCTTGACATTGATGCCGTTGTACGACTCGTACTGCTTCTCGACGTTTTTGAAGTTGAAGTCGAACGTCTGCGGGTGCTGGAGCTCGCCAGGCGCAGCGAGCTCTTGGCCGAGCGACAGGAACTCGTAGTGGTTTCCGCGGTCGAAGAACATTTCTGAGCGCATGACATCAGCAGTGCGCGGCGACGGACAGCTGGGGCGACAGCTGCGCCGAGGAGGCGAGGCGGCCTACCAATGGTGCCGATGAACTGGACCTTGATGCCTGTGTGCTCCAACCGCTTGCCATCCTTGGGCCTCACGGTTACCTGTCCCTTGACCGACTCGCCGTCGAGGTACAGCGGCACCTTTTCCTTGCGGTTCTTGTCCAGCTTGACCTCGACGGCGGAGCGGTCATCGAGGTCTTCGAGGACGATGTCGATGTCGACGGGGGTGGAGAAGAAGTACGACATGGTTGGGAGGGTGGGGAGAAGTGTGCGTGCCTGGTTGGCGTGGGCCGTCAGCGGGAGCTGAGCGTGAGGCTGCCGCGGTGCATTGTCACGGCATGCGGCCTTGCTTCTTGGTCATGGCGCACTAGGCTCGTTTGGGGCGGTGGATGGGCGTCACGTGAGGATGCGCGCCCCCAAGACATGCCCCGCTTCCGCGCTGGTGCTGGGGCAGGCTTGGGCTCACCACGCACCCACACGGGCGCCGGCACCAGCACCAGCACCAGCACCGGCACCAGGCGGCTGGCAGTGACATTGCTAGCACGTATGTATAGTAGCAAGTGGAAGAGTACAGCTACATTACGACATGCAGAGTCGAGGCTCCGGCACAAGTGGGCGCTGGCTGCAGACAGCTTCAAGCGGGAGCGTTTGCTCCGGTTCCGTGGTGGGTGGGCAAAGCCAATGGATCCACGTCACGTCTCACTGCGCAGCCAGTCGGGTCAGGCGCTGGTTGCTGATGGAACAGGAATATACGCAGAGTTTGGCAAACGCCCGGGGAGCGCGGGCGCGGTGGGCGTGGGCGTGGGCGTGGGCGGGGGGCGTGGCCGGATGTGCCAAAATTGGAACGGGCAAAAAGCAACGACAGAAAAGAAGAAAGGCTGTATGTAGCATGCCCTGGCCGGCGCTTGGACTGGCACGTAGTAGCAGTACACCTAGCCCAAGTGCATCGAGTACATGTGTGTGCAGCCTCGACTCTGGCCGGCCCGATGACGGGCGCTCAGTCGCCTCGCCTCACCCCCACGCGCGATTATCAAACCGCTTGGTGCGCGCGAGTCAAAGCGGTGAAGGCCGCCTCTGGTCCGTCGTCGAGCGGATGCCGACGCACGGTGCTGACGGAACGAAGCAGACAGGCAGACGGGCAGACCGACCGACCGACAGAAGGAAAGGCAGTCAGCCGTCGCTCGCGGACAGCAAACAAAGGCATCGCCGGCGCCCGTCGACGTGGCAGCCGCAGCGGTACGCTGGCGGCGATGGCTGATGCCGTGTTGCTGAGCGCGGCGGGGCGCGGGTGCGTGTGTGTGTGAGAGAGAGTGTGTGCGTGTGGTGGGCGCGGGTGGGTGCGGGGGAGGAGGGCTGAGGGCCAAGGCAGGCGCGTCCCTCGCCCATCCCACACGCGACAGTTGCCAGCAGCAGCACCAGCGTCGCTGCTTCAAAGGCCGAAGTCTAAATTCTCCACGCCCGGCTTTCCGGCTGTTGCAGCCGTCAGGCCCAGGCCCTGGCGCTAGGCGCGCGCGGCCGCCTGCCATTGGCTGCGCGGCCGGCGCAGCCTGTCCCATGGCCGCCTTGGCTCCCACGACGACGACGGCCAGCCCTGTGCACCCCACCCCTTGCCGTCATGGCTGCTGCTCTGCTGCCACTGCCACTGCCACTGGCGCTGCGGGCGGAATTTCCACTCACAACCATCTGCGCCTTTATAGCCCACGCGCTGCCCCGGCCCCCCCCCCAGGTGCTGCCCACCGCCTGCAAACGCAGCCCCTGCTCCATCTGCGTCGCAATATCGCATATTAACTCAGCCCCGTCCCCCGTCGCTTGCTCGCCCCCCAACCGGCTGCCCAACTGCCCCCAAACACACGGCTGCTACATACTTTACACGCACGCATACATACATATATACTCCGCCCGTGTTTCCTCTGTCCCTCCGTCCGCCCGCCTACAGCCATGATGCAAACCATGGAGCAAACCGTCCCCCAGCCCATACAATATGTGTCGCCGCCCACGCCGCCCGCCTCCACCACCGCCTCGCCATCGTCATCCTCGGCCGCCCTCAGCGAAGCAAAGACGCGCCACATGGCCATTTCCACGCACCACCACATCCTCATCGTCACGGGCCCTGCAGGCTGTGGCAAGAGCACCATTGCCAAGCATCTCTCCGACCGATATGGCTTCGACTACGTCGAGGGTGACGAGGTTCGTCGCTTGCCCCAAAACGTGCCTAGCGTCTACTGACCCGCCCCGCAGTTCCACCCCAAATCAAACATCGACAAGATGGCCGCCGGCATCCCGCTCAACGACGAGGACCGCTGGGACTGGCTGATTCTGCTGCGCGACCAGGCCCTCACGGCCCTCAAGAACGGCTCGCGAGGCGTCGTCGTCACGTGCAGCGCCCTCAAGAAGAAGTACCGTGACGTCATCCGCACCGCCAGGCTGTACGACGAGGACCCCAATGCAAACGTGCACTTTGTCTACCTGCGCTCCGACATGGAGACGCTCATGTCGCGTGTACGCGCCCGCCAAGGCCACTACATGAAAGACGCCATGGTGGCCAGCCAGTTTGCCGCCCTCGAGGAGCCCGACGAAACAGAGTGCAAGCAGCTCAAGGACGTGGAAATCATCGATGTCAAGGGAAGCATAGAAGACGTGCAGCAACTAGCCGGCGCTGCAGTCGACCGAATCCTGGCACAATAGCACCTTGCCCGCAAGATCAGCCGGCTCTGATCTGTAAAGTTCAAGTCCCATCTCTGATTCGATTTTTTCCGCTTCGCTGCTTGACATGACCTCGGCGCTGAAGCAGTTTCTCCGCAAGCGACATGGCGGGTGGGGGGTTTTGTTCTCTTTTCTATTTTTCTGTTTATGAAAATGGCGTAATCAATATTAATCACATTTACCCTTGGCGACATGGGCTACTGGTTTTTTGCTTTTGCTTTTGCATTGCATTTCTCCGAGGACTCGTCGTTAGACACAAGACGCAATCAAGACTTGATGAGAATCATGGTTGAGCATGCAAAGTGAAGTAGTGTACTTGTTGTACGTTGTCCCCTCGCATCCCTTGCATCCAAGAGAATTGCCTGTGCCTGAAGCGGTTTTGCAAAGCAATGCAATGTGCCACAATCGCTGCTGCTTGTGTGCACCAAACAGCAGGCAGTGGGCAAAAAGCAAATATACCTGCACGCCCGCATGTACCGTTACACCAAGCCGGCCGTTCTCATTCACGGTTGACGAGGGCGAGGGGAAGAACAAGCATTCAAAAGAAACGCAGAGGGAAAAGGCGGAGAAGCCGAGGAATGCAGATAGCCCCCGCATTTGTGCAAACAAGAAAGGAGACATTGGGAAAAGCAAAGAGCACAATACAGACACAGATGTACACATGCTCCCGGCCTCGCGTCCATTAGCGACCGTCTTATACGTACGTGGTAAATGCAAATGCAGTGCATGTGCATGTATACCCCACGCTGCCCAGGCCAAGCATCCACATGCGCTTATGGGCTTCCCCCCACAGCTGAGCGGGTGTCGAGGATGAGAGGGTTGAGATCATCATGACAGAGAGACGGAGAGGGTATGCCGGCTGGGAATGGATACCTGGTTGGCGCTGGCATTGGAGCATGGCGCAGGCACAGGCGGAAGCATCGGCATGTCGCCACGGGGCGCTCCGCGGTGGCGCGTCAAGAGGAGGAGGCGATTGAATCATTGCTGCATGGGCATGGCGGGCTCCTCACATGTTGCGTTGCAGCCATGGCGGAGAGGTTGACGCCATATTGCGAGTGGGCCGGGGAGGCGTGTCGAGACAGGCCCAGGGCAGTGGCAGAGCAAAGAAAAAAAACCACAGGCACGCACATGCGCAGGGATGCTAGCGGCAGCGGATGACGTACCGACAGCCGTTGCCCAGGTCGCGGCCCACCCAAGTTTCTGCCTTTGCGAAAGCGCCCTCGCCCTCGCCCACCCAGCCAGAGCCTATTTGCTGCTAGCCACGCAAGCCCCCTGCCCATGCTGCCGGCCCTCGACCACTGCTGTTCTCATGCTAATGTCTCGCATCCGCAGAAACCACGGTGCGCAAAAAGCCAGCATCGCGCGCCGTGCGTGCGAGTCGTCGCCCAAGTGAGCAAGCACGCGTGCGAGTGAGTGCGAGCGAGGCCTGCCCTAGCTCCCGGCCGCTGCCAGCCATTAAGTATTATTACCCACTCCCACTCCCACTCCCACCTGGACCGCGCGCCCTCGCTCCCTCTGCGAGCCCTTCTCCACTTAAACTTCCCTGGGTCGCGACATGGCTCGTTGAGTTTTAGCTGGCCGTCTGCCTCTTCTCCCTTGCTTCCGGGCCCAATGCCTTCCCGTCTGTTCTCCCGCGACTCGGCCGCCTCAGAGCAGCCGCCGCCTCTGCCCTTCACCGGCGACAGCGCCAATGACGCCGACTTTGCTCCCGACCAGGCGCACGCTGAGAATGGCGGGCCCAGTGTGCCGCGGCGCATAAGAGGCCAGTCGATTGCCGCCACCGCCCTCTCGGCCTCGTACACGCGCAATCCCATCCGCTCCTTTGCCCACCAGACGTCGCACAGCTTTGCCGGTGCGTGTTGGACACGGTCTCTCACGGCCACGTCGCGCTGACGGCCCTCCAGATACCCCACACTACTCGTCGCAAGGCGTGCGCGAGAGAAGCTCCCAGCTGGCCTCGTACGCCCTCGAGGCCGAAAACTACCAGGACCGACCGCGCCACCACAGCTTCGCCGAAGCAGACACGTTCGCCGCGAGGCCGGCCGCCATCCACTCGGGCAGCGATGATGGGCGCATGTCGCAAGACTCTGGCCGCTGGACCGATGCCACTGATCAGGAAAGCGAAGCCGAGACGCCCGAGACGGTCATCGGGCCCCAGCACCAACAAGGCAACTTCTTCAGCCCAAAGTCGCAAGCCCATGCCACCCAAGGCGCAAGAAACGCAGCGTCAATCTTACATGCCCCGGGTGGAGCACAGCAAGACTCGGAGCGGACCCCTCTGCTCCCCCAAGCCAGGCTGTCGCGCTCAGACCTCCAGCACAAGCACAACACCAGCCAGCACCATTCGTGGGTCCGGCGCGCCAAACCGAACCTCCCCCACCGCCTCAAGCACACCCTTGCTGCCGGTCGGGAACATGTCCTTGGCGTGGGCCGCTCATTGTCCGACCCCAGACACTACACCAAGGACGCTCTTATTTCGCACGCCATTGGCGGTGTCCAGATCACTTGTGCCGTGTTTCTTGGTCTGCTCTTGAACTTGCTCGATGCACTGTCTTACGGCTACATCCTCTTCCCACTCGGTGCGCCCATCTTCAGCAACACTGGTCCAGATGGCATTTCCATCTTCTTTGTCAGCTGCATCGTCTCGCAGCTCTGCTACTCCTTGGGCTTGTCCGTCTTCAAGGGTGGTGTCGGATCCGAGATGATCGAGGTCGTGCCCTTTTTCCACAAAATGGCCTACTCCATCATGCATCAGATGAAGGGCCAGTCATCCGAGGCCATTATAGCCACCACCATCGTTTCCTACTGCCTCAGTTCCATCTTGACGGGCCTCATTTTTCTCGCCCTGGGCGCATTCAAGCTCGGCAACCTCGTCAGCTTCTTTCCAAGACACATTCTGATTGGCTGCATTGGAGGAGTCGGCTTCTTCCTCATGGTGACTGGCATTGAGGTCTCGGCTCGGCTCGAGGGCAACCTCAACTATGACCTCGCAACACTGCACAAGCTCTTCTCCCCGGACACTTGGTACCTGTGGATGCTTCCTCTTGCCCTTGCCATCACCATCATGGTACTACGACGGCTGTCCAAGAGCCCATTTGTCTTGCCTGCCTTTTTCATCTCTGTGTTTGCCGTATTCTACATCGTCGTCACGGGTATCCTACACAAGGACTTGGAGTCTGTGCGCAATGCGGGATGGATTTTTGAAATGCCAGAAGCTGGTGTCAAGTTTTATAGGTTTTATACCTACTTCAGTAAGTATCTTGCGCATCCACAGTGACTGCATGCTGACCATCGACAGAGTTTGGCAGCGTAGACGGGTCGGCGTTGGTTAGTACCATCCCCACCATGTTCGCTCTATCCTTCTTCGGTATCATCCATGTGCCAATCAACGTTCCTGCTCTGGGCGCTGCCGTGAGAGAAGACAACCTCGATGTGAACCGAGAATTAATTGCTCACGGCATCTCAAACACTCTGTCCGGATGTTTGGGTAGTATTCAGGTGTGCACAGCCACGCCCCTTTTTCTTACCACACTGACACTGTTGAACAGAACTACCTAGTATACGCTAACAGTGTCATGTTTGTCGATAACGGCGGCAACAGTCGCACGGCAGGTGTCATGCTTGCCGTGGCCACGACTGCAGTATGGCTAGCCGGCCCAGCCATGATTGGCTTCATCCCCATTTGTCTCGTTGGTGCGCTCATCTTCCTCCTGGGCATCGATCTCATGAAAGAAGCGCTCTGGGATACCTTTGGCAAGTGTCACAAACTTGAGTACCTGACCATCCTGGTCATTGTCCTCATCATGGGTATCCACGACTTTGTCGTCGGCATATTCGTTGGTATTGTCCTTGCATGCGTCAGCTACGTAGTGCAGAGCTCGCGCCATTCAGCCATACGAGCTACCTATAGCGGCATGATTGCCGAGTCTACAGTGCGCCGCCCGCGATCAGATTCACGTTACCTGAGCCAGGTTCGAGGTCAGATTCGTGCCATTAAACTTGGAGGGTTCCTATTCTTTGGCACCATTGTATCAGTCGAAGAGTACATGCGCTCCTTGATTGATGACGATAACTTTGAGAAGAACCCCATCAGCTTCATCATTGTTGACTTTACCCATGTCACGGATGTCGATTTTTCCAGCTCCGAGGGCTTCCAGCGCATCAACCGAATCCTGAACACCAAAAACGTCAAGATGGTCATTTCTGGTATCTCTTTTTCTGATCCGGTTGGACGTGCTCTGCAGAACGTCGGGCTGCTCGACGGAGAAGGAGATGACTGCCCACCACCTCAGGTTTTTGAGGATCTCAATACGGCACTGGAATCATGCGAGAATGAGCTGCTCGAAGTCTTCCACAGACACTGCAACAGACACTCGTCCAGGCAGCAGACCACGCCGCCAATGAGCATTGCGGGGGCCAAGGATATTTCTGCCAACGAGACCACGGCCGTCAGTGGCTCCCCTACTTCTATCGGCGCCAGTTCCCTGAACCCCGTGTTCGCCTCGCCTCGCCGCGGTGCTAGACTGATTGCCGCGCGTTCAGTGATGCGTGAGAGCGGCGAAGACTATCTCTCAATAGCCGACAATGCCTCCCAACACACGACACCCAGAGCCCCACCGCGATGGCGAAATTTTGCACAGCCACTGAAGATTATTCTGCAAACCTTTGAAGACGTGTCTAGCAAGAACGAGGACTTTTGGCAAGCTGTCGCACCTTACTTTGAGCGCAGAGAGTACCCTGCTGGTACGGTGCTGTACTCGCGTGGCGATGACCCTGATGGCTTCTACATTCTAGAAAAGGGACGGCTCCGAACAGAGTACGAGCTCGACCAAGGTAGCTTCTTCGAGGTCATCCTACCAGGTACAACGTGTGGCGAACTGCCATTTTTTTCAGAGACAGACCGCACAGGCACAGTGGCAGCCGAGAACGACTCGGTGGCATGGTTGCTCACACGAGAAAAATACAAGGAGCTGGAAAAGAAGGACCAAGAAGTAGCTACCGAGTTGCTAAAGGTTGGGCTGAAGCTGACAAAGGAGCGCATGGACGCGATTACAAGTTATGTACTTGTCACTGCGTCGTAGTTACAGATGATCCGGATGGAGCTTGGCGTCAAAAGTGTGGTGAGGTTTTTTCTACGAGTGCATGTTTGGGAGACCTAGGAAGACTAGTGTGGTCGAAAAGTTGTTGTTTAATTGCATAGCGAGTGGCTGCCCTGTACGAGACTTGCAGGGCCAAAAGCTTGATCCAAGGCATGAGATTTAATCATACAATCACCTCATTACTCTAAAAGCTCACATGTTAACTTCGTTTGCATCTACGATAACATGAAGTGTGAAAAAGCAAGTCACGGGTGAGAGTGGGAAAAAAAGAAAAAAAGAATACAACCAACATTAGCTGCTCTCGGTTTCCTGGTGAAAGGTTAGTCCCGTGATTCGAACTTGGACCGAATTGGATTCAAACTCACGATCCGAGGTCCTCCGGGTTATGAGCCCGGCGCGCTTCCGCTGCGCCAAGCAGCTTTTTTTGATGAGTTGCTTAATAAGCTCGGTTCGATTTTCTGTCAAATAAAATAAACCACACTGACGTGATTTATTATTCAGTGGTATCAAGCACTAAAATAAAGGGAGGTGCGATGTGTGGGGCAGTGGGAGATCTATTCCCTCCATACACAGGGTGTGAGTGAGTCATGCCATTGGTAGGGGATGACTTTGGGTGACTTGACTAAACCCCAAACTTGAACTGGTAGACGCAACTAAGGGGAACACCAGACTACAATCTAGAACTCTGCAACATCAGAGTGATTTTGTTATCTTTTTGGATGTTTCAATATGCCTACAGGGATTCAATCACGGTAAAACAACTACGTATCAGTGCTTGAGGCGGATGAAGAGAGAACAAGGATACAGGAAATCGTCAAAAACCAAATTTATCAAAAGACACAATTGAGATAAAGGGCTGACCATGACAAGATTGCAGAGTTGATATGAGGCTTTTCAAAATCCAACTAGCCTTTGTTCAATAAATGTGTGAGTGGGAAATTACCTTTCCGTCCTAGTATTAGGTAAAACGAGGAACTATGTCTCCCCCCTCCTTTCCCAAAGAGAAACGCTATACAAACAGCGTCAATGCCCTCGGGTGTTAAGCGGTGAGCAAAGGAGACAAAAATAAGGAATAAACAAGACGAAAAGACATGGGATATTTTAACAGATGACCTAGGTTCCTTCTAGTGTCCCTCGATATCAAGGTCCCTTTGCCTCACACAGACGCCCACTTTTACTTAGGGAGGTTCCCAACCCCTTGTGCACCTCGACCTGGAATCCTTCAAATGGTACTCTCTCGCCGTCAATGCTGATGTAACCATCCTTTTGGTTACGAGGAATGATGCGATATGCGCTCACCTTCTTGTAGTCGACATGATCGAGGTTGAAAAAGGTGTTCTTCTCAATCGACATTAGTGTCTTGATGGCAGTGCGACGGGGCAGGTCGCCGCGGATACGGACAAGGTCGAGACAGCCATCGCAGGGAAGGGCGCCAGGGAAGAAATTTGCGTCAGTTGCCATGAATGCTATGTTGCCGGCGTAGAAGTTGCCCAACTGGTCGTGAGGAATAAGCTCCCATCCTTCGGGGAGGGGATCACTGCATGTGCCGTACTGGAGCGCGGGTAGGCCTGTGTCTGCCTCAGGAACCGCGCGATCGTCGCTACTTCGAAGTAGTTTTGCGCTTTCGGCACGGTAGGCTTCACGAACAGCGTCCTTGCTGTCGTACTCAACCTTGACGGCAATGTCGGCGGGGTACACGGTCTTGTTGAGCAAGCGCACTATGAAGCCCCATGTGAAACGCGCGCCTCCCATCCATCGCAAATTTTCCGTCCCAAGATCGGTTTCGGCTACGATGCCAACAGACTGCGAGAGGAACGAGAGGGTGCGTCGGTCGCCTTGTGTGACGGATGCTAGGTCTAGCGGCGTGCGCAGCCCTTTTACGATGGCTACAGCTGCTAGACTTGGGTCGCCTGTGCCATTGAAGTTCATACTCAAGGCGTTGCCCGAGCCGCACGGCAATTGCGCGACAGCCATTTTCTGCAGGGCTCTCGCAGCGTCGGGTCTTTTGCCCAGTCCATTCCAGACTTCGTGTGGTATGCCATCTCCGGAGCAGCATGCCACGACGTCGTACGCATCAATGTCGATCTTCTGCGCAATCTCGACACCATGCCCATTGTACATTGTCTTCTCGACGTCGAGTTCGCATCTTGCCGCCGCGAATATGGGCGCAACGTGCTTGTTGTATATCTTGACAGCGCTGCCCTGGCCGCCAAACGGATTGACAAGCACCTTGATGCGCTTAAGCCTTTGCGACGGGCCATATGCGCGATCCAGCAGCTTCTCGATCCATGCATCTATCAAGGGGCCGTCGGATTTCTCGATGGTGTAGCTGAGCATGGCAGGGCGAACAGAGGCTTTGGCCACAGGCTGGGCATAGTGGATGGCAATGTGGCCGTCACTGACGTGTTCGGCCCAAAGAATGTTGAAAAAGGGTATGGAGCGAGGGGCGTTCTTCTCTGTGTCGCGTAAGCGGATGCTGCATGCGCCTACATGGCGTGTCCACAGTGCTTACTGTGAGGAAGAGATATACCGCAACAGGATGCGTTCTTGGCGTGTGGACTGGCTTCGTCTGTGACGTTGTCAGCTACGGGGGGTGGGTCCCCTAAGCATGAGCAGACTGCGCATACCTAGGACGACTAGCGAATCCGCGGCCAGCGTCAGTGAAGCATTTCGGCCCACAGCGAGCGAGTCGGGCACGGTCATGTGCTCATGAGAGGCGGCGGTGGAGGCGTTGTTATTAGGGTCGTTGGTGGTGGGAATCAATGGGACGCTGGGATCGGTAAAGGCGTCTCCGGCGCCGGGCGTGGAAGCCATGATGGTTACTGTTGCAGAGTCGCGCTTGGGCTACACAGCATGCTGCGCGCAGAAGAGCACCACCAAACGCTCGAGGAAAAAAATAAGCCCCTGGGAGGGACGAGGTGAGACGGCTGTCGACGCGCTCATGAGTGCAATAGATAGATATCGGAGAGTCGGCACGGGACATTGCAAAAGGGAAATAGTCGCGAGCCCCGTGGACCCTGCGCCCTAGCACCAAGCCGAGGCCCCCAACATGTCCGCCATTGGCCCAGCGCCTGTGTCTGCATATCGACATACATCGAGGTTGAAACGGATGCAATTCATGTCTGCGCCAGCTTTCCATGCTGCTGCTGCTGCTGCGGCTGCTGCTGCGGCTGCTGCTGATACTGCGGCTGCTACATTGCCCTTTTGTACTTTGCTTGCATCGCCGCCCTGGCCCGGCCCACAGTCCAGCAGGCCCCTTCTTTGCCTTTTCTGCGTGCTCCCCCTCCGAAACGGGTGCTACTCACGCCACTATGCCACTCCTACCTTGTTCAGTCCTTTCAGCGAGCCTAGGCTCAATGCCAGACCTTGCGAGCGACTACGTATGCGCACGAAGCCCGTAATAGGCCCGTTGTCTCCTTCCTTTTCTATGCTGAGATTGGCCAAGGCATCCTCGCCTGCACCTCGTTAGTGGCCGGAAATTGGGTGCGGGGCAAAAACCACCTACCGAAGACGCTCCTAGCGTACAGGTTGGCTGACAGGAACTGGCAGTCGCCCTTCATCGATGCCTCGGGTGTCAGGCAGCTCATGTTGGTGCATGCCATGAGCTGGCTCAGGAACTCGCGCAGACTCTTGGCCTTGGAGTTGATGTTGACCTTGTTCTCCCACTCAAACTCGGTCCACATGGTCCGGAACTGCGTCTCGGTGCATTGTGCTGGTTTGATGTAGTCCATGATATCCACGTGCACGTCGTTGAGGATGACCACGTTCGAGTCAACGCCCTTCTCACTAACACACATTAGCAACATCGCTGAACCACGGCCACTTCAGACCTACCCTTCGTAGATGATGTTTCCAAAGATGACTCCAGTATCCGTCGACGAAACTAATCAAGTCAGCATATAAGCAATGCACGCTCCCAGAGACAAGCTTCCTACCCTTGATGGTCGCCTGGATGTTGATAAAGTCGTGTGGGCCAACATTCTGCGTCGACGGGCGTTCGACAACCTTGAGGTCGCCCAGCGTCGCAAACTCAATCGTGAGATTCTGCAACGTCTCGGTCGTCTGGTTGACCAGAAGCACGTCGAGAACAATGTCGAATTGGTGAACCTGCTACTATCAGCCTGTGGCTTGCAATCTGCTAGCAATAGCTGCATTACCTTGACATATGCCTCGGCATACACCGAATCAGAGAAACCGGTAAGCTGTACAACTCGGCTGAGTTTTGATGTAAGGTCTTCAGTAGCGCTATCACCTCCGGTCGCTCGTTCCAAGTCTTGGTCAATTTCGTCAATACCGTCGGCATCCTTCTTCTTGAGCTGGCGAATGTTGAACGAATCATCGACGTTGACGGCTGATTTCGCCCTCTCCGAAGCTTCCTTGGCCGCTCGCTTCTTCTCCTCCGTCTGCACCATGGTTCGGAACGATTTCCGCGTGTCCTCAAGGAACACAGTCTGGATCTCCTTTCTTTGCGCAAATTCTGACAGCGAGCGGACACACGACATGATACGATCGATAGAGTCCTCATCGATCAATGTCTTGACAAAGTGCGACTGGCCTACACGGATAATGGAAATCATAATTAGCATGGCTTCTGCACGGAGAGCGTTTGTGCGTGCGGTATCCTGAGAGATTTCTCCATGTCGCATGACAAGCTTGGTCAAAGTGCTCGACAGAACCGTGGCAAGGTAGTAGTCGCCATCAAGCAGGAGTTGACGAAGCGGAGGCTTCTGAGAGTTCTTGACAGCTTCGAGTTTCGCCTTGGCAGCAGCCGATGATGTGAGAGCGCTTTCGGTCGCGTATGTTCCGTCAGCAAGCACCTTTCGGGATCCAGTAGGGGCAGCTGCCTTGGCGTGTCCATTGACCTGATCCGAAGAGTCTTTGCCTTCTGATGCCTCGTCGAGCAGCCTTTGCTCAGAGGCAAGGATAGGAATCTCGCCGAGTGATGATCGAATGCCCTTCCAAGCGTCCCTGATGTCTTTTGCTTCCAGAGAAAACTCTCCGATGATCCAGAGCACGCCTCTGTACACCTTGCCAGCGCGCACTTCACCCAGTGTCGAAACCAGTCGCTCGATGATGGAGACCCGAAGGTCGGGGAAACGCTCGACCACCTCTTTGACGAATGAAATGACGTCTACTGCAGAGGCATTGCTGCTGACATCTGAGATGAAGTCCATGAGTGACCCGACAACGCTGGCGGCAACTTCTGGGAATTTGATGGCGGCCGAGTGTATCGACGAGATAAGCAGCGACCGGTATTCTGTGTTCTTCTCGTACTGTTCATCCACCGTCTTCATCAGCTCCTTCTTGAGAAGCAAAACGACCTCTTCAACGTTCCTACTCGAAATCATTTCCATTGCAATGCCGAGCGACTTCTTGCGTACGTCCAAGTCTGTGCTGGACAAGACACGGAGGATCTCCATGGTCAAATCATCAAGCACACCTTCATTCTTATGCCGTAATTGGTCTACCCGCTCCAAAACTATCAGCTTGACGTTGTTGTCGGGTTCTCGAATGGCCAATTCGACAAACTTTCCAGCCGCCGCCTTGACCGCGACTGGGTTACTTGTGAGCGTTGTGAGCGCATGTGCGGCTTCGTAGATGACGGTCGAGACTTGTGATTCAAGGAGGTCGAAAATCAGGCGGAGATATCGCGCCTTGTTGGAAGGGTTGACTACGGCATCCTTGCGAATAAACTCCAATTCGGCGAGCAGCAAAAGCTCCTCATGATTGGGTATGGCGTCGAAGACGGTGCTGAGGTATTCGAGGGCCTTTTCGTGGCTGACGGAAACGAGGGCGGCGAAGGCATTGCGTTTGCACGTCGGATCGTTTTCGTCGTCGAGGAACGTGACCAGAAGATCGGGTGCATCTGGCATAAGCTCGGGAAGGTGTGTGAAGATGGAGGCAATAGCAAAGGTTGCGTTCTTTCGGACGTATGCGTGTCGGTGTGTAAGACACTGGCGCACGGGTTCTGGCATTGCTGTCAGTATGCCACCTGCAATTGCATCCGCCACAACACCTACGCAGCAATGGCTCTACAAGTTCGGCATCACGAAGCTTGGTTCTGTTCAGCGTGTTAGCAGTGCGCGGGCCAGCGTCGGGGATGGCCGTACACGAAGCGCAATGTATTTCCTCGTACGTATTCGTTGGGAGCCTGCAAGTCGAAACGAATCGCATTGCTGTACCGCGGTCAGCCAACATGGTTCCTTGTGCGTGTTGTTGCACAGCGGGCCACGCACCAGACCAATATCCACTCCTGGCGCAGCTTGCCCTGGGCGTCGTGTTTGGGGCACACCTCGAAGAAGAAGTACATGAGCTTCTTCAGCGGCTTCGACTTGCTCGGCATGACAAAGCGGATGATGTGCATGAGCAGGCCGGGCTGAGGGTCGCCGTTGAGCATGATGGAGAGAATCTTCTTCTGCAGACTGGTTAGACAGCCAGGGGGACCAGGGCGGGGCAGTTGCAATTGCGATGGCGCACCATGGTCTCGATCTTCTGCTCATCGCTGCCCTTTTCCAGAGCAGTCTTCAGCTCGTTCTGTGAGGGTACGTCGGCGGCATTGTCCTGGTGCACCTGTTGCGCTCCGTCAGCTTGCCTGGGCTCCCCACAGTGCCAGGTGTCCGTACCAGGCTGTACGAGTTCTCGAGAAAGGTGGCCATGGCGGCGGCGTGGCGGGTGTATGCGTATGGCCCGGGGGGCAAGTGTTTGGGGCTGCAATGGCGTGGCTCTCGCGGCGGCCGTCGATGCTGCGTGTGCTGCCTGTGTCGAGAGCAGGTGGGATGCTACGTGGTTTGATCGAGTGCGGTGGACGCGAGGCGGGTGCCGTCTGGTGCAGCCGCAGCCTGGCGGGATGGATGAGGGGACGGGATTGCCCTGTGTGGCGAGGTGGCTTCTTTGCGTGGGCGGTGCAGAGCGCTGCAAGTGACGGGGTTCATCTGCACATACCTCCAGGTGTCTGCTCGAGAAATGGTCCCTAGCACAGACCACCTGGTCCGCTAAGCCAGTACTTAGAGCGCTGCGCCCAAGATGGCGAAGGCGGCGACACTCGCACAGCACCCCAACATCAACTGCGCACCAGACGCCGCGCCGGACCTTGCACGCAGCCAACGCCCGTCTCCATTGCAGACACTGCTCCGCACGCGACGGCAGCAGCAGCCATGAGCACCGGCGAGCCCTTCTACCTGCGATACTAGTAGGCCTGCCTACTGCGGCTTCTGGCACGTGCCGGTGGCTAACATTTGCGCAGCTCTGGTCACCAAGGCCGCTTCGGCCACGAGTTTCTGGGTCAGTCCCCGTCTGGGTCCAGCACAGGGCCAGCGGCGCTGACACGATGCAGAGTTTGACTTTCGCGTTCTTGGAGACGGCCGCAGCGCGTCTGCCCGCTATGCCAACAATTCCAACTACCGCAACGATTCGCTGATCCGAAAAGAGAGTATGCAGACCATGCCTCGACGCGGCCAGGGTGCACCCGCTAACCTGGGCCAGTGTGTGTCAGCGACACCTTGGTGGCTGAGATCAAGCGTATTGTCAAAGAGAGCGAAATCCTCAAGTATGCTGCTTGCCACGGCGGCTTGGACGGCGGTGCTTTGGCTAACTAGACGTGCAGGGAAGACGACACAAAGTGGCCGCAGAAGAACAAGGACGGCCGTCAAGAGCTGGAAATTCGGCTAGGCAGCGAGCACATCTCCTTCGAGGTAGGCGGCTGGTGACACGTCCAGACAGTGGCATACTGACAGTTCCAGACGGCCAAGATTGGCTCGCTCCAGGACGTTTCCGAGTCGTCAGATCCTGAGGGCCTCCGTGTCTTCTACTACCTTGTTCAGGACCTCAAGGCTCTGGTATTCTCGCTCATAGCACTCCACTTCAAGGTAAGCGCGGCATTGAGACGGGCGGCGAGCATGGTGCTGATGGGCCGTTTAGATCAAACCCATCTAGGCTTTTCAGCAAGGCTGGCAGTGGGCCCGGACGCAACAAGGGGGACGCTGTTGTTGTTGTTGCTGTCGTTGTTGTTGCAGCCACAGCAGGCCGCATTCTCATGATGCGCAGGGGCGGGCCCAGTGCGGCGGCGTACCGAGCGTGCTGGCGGAATGCAATGTTACATAGACATTCTTCACAAGCAGCGGCAGCATGGATGGCTGAGTCAGACGGCGTGGCGGGCATGGGCGCTGAGGGCACGCTAGCAGGCGCAGAGCATGTGAATCAGCGATGGCAAGGCGTCGGGCATGGGCATGGGCAAGGGCTGCCGGGCGGGCAATCGTGTACATGGATAGATAGGCGTTTCAACGTGGATGAAGCTGGCTGCCCGTCGGGCGTGTGGTCGGGCCCCATGTCATGCCACGTGAGGCTAGCGTCTTTCCCCGCGTAGGGTTCAGCCCTCAGACCCACTGCATTGCCTAGACACGTTCGCCGAGTGCCCGTCAGCCTTCCAACAGCCATGCCTCTCGTCGCCACGCCTTTTTGAGCCCCGACGTTCCTATTCTGTTACCCAGCCTGGCCCCCTCCATCCGGCTTTCGTCCCATGCGTGAGCCAGCAGCCCCCTGCCCATAGAAACCGCCGCCCCACTCGAGCGGACGATGCCGACACCCGATGATGCCATGGTCTCGCCAGTGGAGCACGAGAGCATCACCGGCCGCGCAACCTGCCCTCCCGACGAATCGCGCGCCAGCACTGCCCACGAGTTGAGCGGGCCGCGACAAACAACCCACGACAGCAATGCGAGTCCTGCACGCGATGCGCCCATGCAGCAGCCCACGCCGCCTCCCCACGACGAGCCCGACCATGGCCAGCCGCCCGCGGATGCCCACAGCAAGCCCTCGACCGCCGACATAGAAGCCCCAGCCAGGGACATTCCCACGCCCATGACGGCGACGGACGAGGGCACCGACGAGCAGCGCCCGGCCCAGCCCTCGCCCCAGTCCACCATCACGCCCGTTTCGCTGCTTGCCAACCACATCTCCTCGCCGTTTCTGGCGCATAGGGTGCGTTCCGCCGTCGTCGTGTGCCGTGCCGTGCGGTGCGCTGAACTAACGGCAAAACAGTTTCTGCCCAATACGTCGTCGTCGCTTCTCCGGCCTGGCAGTCGTTTCGTCGGCAGCCAAACGTCTGACCGCCAGAAATACGAGGTCGAGGTGGAGATAAAACATGTCGACATGCGCGAGTCCTTCATGTGTGGCTATCTGCGCATCAAAGGTACCCATCCTCGCTGCTGCCATGCTGCCACCCTTGGGGGGCGCCACGACTAATTGCTCACCAGGCTTGACCGAGGATCATCCAAGCCTGACGACCTACTTCGAGGGCGAGATCATCGGAAGCAAGTACACCTTCATTACCCAACATCCCGAATGGGGCTCCAACGAAAAGGTCGATCGCCAACACTGGGCGCGCTTCCCTGCCTACAAGCCGCTGTCCAAGAACCTGTCGCGTCCCGAACTGGCGAGCAAAGACTGGATGCAGAAAGAGCATCTTTTTATGCGCTGGAAAGAGTATTTCCTCGTGCCCGACCACCGCGTCAGGACCATAAGCGGCGCAAGCTTCGAGGGCTTCTATTACATCTGCTTCAACCAGGTCACTGGCGGCATTGAAGGCATCTACTTCCATGCTAAGAGCGAAAAGTAAGTGTGGCATTCGGCATCCCACGCCAGACGCGGCTAACAAGGCACCAGGTTCCAGAAGCTCCAGCTCGAACACATCCAGGACTACGGGTGTCAGGGAGCCATTGAGTTCCGATAACGTTTAACGATTGCACGACTTGGCATTTTTTGAGGGGGGTGTTGGACTTAGCATTTGGGCGCACTCTGGGATCGACTTTCTTGTACCGTATCATTTACCCTCAGACCGTATGCAGCGTGCGACACGGCCGTAGATAATTTCTGCAGTAATGTTTCCTGGGACATTGGGGCAGGATTACGTCATTTGTAGACTCGTCTTACAATGTGTGTGCATTGTGGCGCCAACGGCTGTGCCAGTGCCAGTGCCAGTGCCAGTGCTCCTCCACACGTCGTGGGAGCTAGCGTGAGCGAGAAAAAAGCCTGCTCCACCGCAGCCGCGCCTCGTGATTGGCGACCCGTCCCTCTACCATTACCTCAGCACCTGCGTTTCTCTTTGCGACCGGCCCTGCCCGTCTGGTCCTTGCAACAGCTACGCAACCACCGAAGCCACAATGCCAGGCGAGCCGGCAAAGCGCACCAGGCGCGAGGAATACAAGAAGTCGCTGCAGGCCGACGAGCAAAATGCAGCGCTGCCAAAGAAGAAATTCTACAGGCAACGCGCCCATGCTAACCCGTTTTCGGACCACTCTCTCACCTAGTACGGGGGGCATCTGTTGTTTCTTTGCGCCATGGTTTCAGCTGACGAGATGTAGTCCCAAGAGCCCCGCCGATATGGACTGGGCGGGCTTGTATTCCGCCTACGCCAAACACCAGAAGCCAGAGACGGACAGCGGGTCACATGACGTGACCTTGGAAGAACAACGGAAAACCAACAAAGTCACCAAGCATGTCGAGATAGCTGACATTGGGTGTGGCTTTGGCGGCCTGCTCTTTGCACTCGCGCCCAAGTTTCCAGATACCTTGATGCTCGGTATGTGTGTCATACTCGAACCAAGGCCATGCTACTAACCTTGCCACTACTCAGGCATGGAGATTCGCACATCGGTGACAGAGTACGTGCAGGAAAAGGTACGCGCTCTGCGCATCCAAAACGCCGCCACAAACGGCTACCAGAACGCGGCGTGCATCCGCGCCAACACGATGAAGTTCCTGCCGAACTTCTTCCAAAAGGCACAACTGTCCAAAATCTTCCTCTGCTTCCCAGACCCCCATTTCAAGCAGCGCAAGCACAAGGCCCGCATTGTGTCGTACACGCTAAACTCGGAGTATGCCTATGTGATGCGGCCGGGTGGCATTGTGTATACGATTACTGATGTGCAGGATCTCCATGAGTGGATGAAGGAGCATTTTGAAAAGCATCCTAGTTTTGAGCGGGTGGAGAGGCGGTTTGAGGAGGGCGAGGGCGAGGATGGCGCCGGCATGGATGAATGCGTCAAGGCGATGAGGGTAGAGACGGAGGAGGGCAAGAAGGTCGAGAGGAACAAGGGCTTGAAGTTTGTGGCGTGTTTTAGGAGGGTCGAGGATCCGCCATGGCCTTGATGGGTTGTGGGGAGAGAAACAGAGTGTGCAAAGTGTGAGCAAACGATGCGTGAGTGCTCGTCTCGAGATTCTTGCGATGGATGGATATCTTGTCCGCTCCTTGATCAATCACACACACAGCAGTAGTCTACAGGAAGTGCATGGGCAGAACTAGTGCTTGTAACAACGCACTCTATCACCGCATCGTCTGTCTATTTCTAGCCTAGGTTCGTAGATAAAGTCTACCCGTCCATGTACACTTTGCAAATGCCCTCGGCAAACACGCATGCAAATGACACATCAAGTAGCCACTATCTCACAACTTGGGAAAACGCACCCTCAAAAATTGGTTCGACCACCCAACATCCAGCCCCAACTGCCACGCGACGCGCAACACCCACTCCGGCTCCCTCATAAACTGTCTACCAACAAGCACCACATCAGCCAGTGGCTCTTTCCCCTCTGTGAGTTTGACAGCAGCCTGAGCCTCGCTTGCGAGTTCCGCAATGCTGTTCTTGGAGAGGGCGGCTCCATCCTCGACAATGTCTCTGGCCTGCTCTGCTGCAATGATGAGGCCCACGGCCCCGATAAACATGTTGAGATTTTCCTTCTTGAGCTCGCGGCGGATCTGAGCCGCAATCTTGGTCTGATAGTCTTTGGAGTCATACGTGCTGATGCGTTGCTCAGGGTGGTTTCCCCCACTGCTTACATCCAGTAGATCCACACCTAGAACGGGCAGCAGCTTCGCGAGCCGGATCGAGCTTTCCACGTCCCAGCTGCCGTACTTCTTGCCCAGCTCCGTTTCTTCCAACCAGTCGGTCGCGCTGATGCGGAGGTACAGGGGCATCGTGTCTGGGATGACGGCACGAATAGCCTTGATGATCTCAATCAGAAGGCGTGTCCGGTTCTCAAATGAGCCGCCGTATTTGTCGGTTCGCTGGTTGGTGACTGGTGAGAGAAACTCATGGATGAGGTAGCCATGTGCAGCGTGTATCTCAATCATGTCAACGCCGGCCTTTACACCCCTTTGGGCTGCCTCGGCCCAGTCCTGAACCAAACGCTCCAGTTCCGCTTCGCTGAGAGCCCGAGGCGCCCAGAACCCGCTGTTCTCGTCGTCTGCTGGCTTGCCGTCCCAAGCCCATTCCTGTCCGCCCATGGGACCGACAACATTAGATGGCCATCCTCCAACGTCTACATCTGCCTTGACGCTGACTTGACGTTTCCCTCCCTGCGTCTTCTGTGCGCCGGCGATCCAGGGGGCACAGGTGCTGGCTTTTCTACCTGCGTGCGCTAGCTGGAGACCGGATAGAGCGCCCTGGCTCTTGATGAAATCAGAGACTCTGCGTAATGCGGGAATCTGCGCGTCGGTCCAGAGGCCAGGGCAGTTTGGAGTAATGCGTCCGTTGGGTTGGACGCCTGTGGCTTCTACCATTACCAGGCTGGCACCTTTGAGTGCGTAGTGACCCAGAGTGGCGATGTGGTAGTCGGTCAACGCGCCCACAGAAGGACCTTCAGACGCGGTGCTGTACTGGCACATGGGCGCGACGAGGATGCGGTTTCGCAGTGTAGTTCCACGAATGGTGAGAGGCGTGAAGAGAGTGGGAACCGGGACATGTTGCTTGCTGTTGGGTACAATCGAGCCTGGACTTGTAAGGTGCTTGGGGGTAAAATAGGGGAGGCCAGGGACGCCGTGGTTGTAATCTTTAGGTGCCATGTGTGCAAGCAGGAACTGTGCTGTGCTGCTTTCAGTAGTGGCGAAGGCTGAAGTATGGGCAGGCCTCTGGATATTCACAAACAGGCGAGAGTCTTAGCCGTGAGTTTATCTTGCCTTGTATGCGTACAGTGGCTTCGACACAAGTTTCTAAAGTACGGTGTGGTGTAAGCACGGTGGCATTGAGTCGTAAGTGCCGGGTGATGTTGCCGAGGCATTTTGCACCCTCCATATCCAAGGCCGAACGCGCCTATCCAAATGGCTTTGCAAAGGTCGTGATTGTCCAGTTGCCTTGCTCTACTGCCCGCCGCTGACCCGCACTCTGCGGCTGGTGAAGAGGTAGAGACTGGGTTTGGCTAGCTTCCCGGAGAAGCAGGGAACCGTCGTTCTGGGCATCATCGAGGGCCCATGACGATGTCGATCGTCTCCAAGCCTGCTGAGATAAGCACAAGTGCCTACTGACGCCTGCACGTGACGACGTGTCGCTTGCCATTGCACCCGTCATGCAGTCGCCATGACGTCAACAGCTGGCTGTTGCATATACATAGTCGCCAGCATCTCCGAGCAAAGACATGCTACAGTCACCCACCGCTTTCAAACTGCATCCCGAAACACACGCCTCTTTCGTACCGACATCGCCTAAACACCATACACCATGTCTGCCGCACCCAACCAGCCCGGTCTCGTCTCCAGCCACGCCCAGTGTGTCAAGGGCGCCGCCGAGGTAAGGACTTGATGTTTTTCTCTGCAGTGAACTCGTGTCAAGATGCTGTGCTAATCATGCGGGCAGGAGACCATCGGAAACGTAACGGGCAGCGAGCCCTGGAGGTCGTCAGGCACTGCGGACAAGGAGCAGGCAGTGAGCGCTATGAAGGCGGCATCAGCCAACCGCGACGCCAGCCAGCAGGGCATGGGTAGCCTCGAGGAGAAGGCGGGTAACTTGGTTGGATGTGAGGGCATGCAGAAGGAGGGAGCTGAGAGCAAGCAATAGACGGCATGCCTTGTGATGTAAAAGTGTACTGTACCATCTAAAATGCAATACAAGGCAAATCAGGACACTCGTGGAGCTCAACTGACGGCCGGTTGCCTTGTAGATCGCGGGTAAAATCTCGTCCAAGACGTGGTTGGGAGCGCTTGTCGCGTGCAGGCCATGCATCATGGGTGGAGAGACGGCGGGCGGCGGGCGGGGAAGCACGGCCCGCGCGTGAGACTGGCACTGGAGCTCAACTCACCTCCACCATCGCTTACCCAAACCAGCTGCGATCCGCCCAATATGCCGCCCCCAGCCCGCGCGCGCCCGCTCAAAAAGGACGACTTTGAGCCGACGCTGAAGAAGCTCAAGACATCCGTCTACCAGGACAGCCTGCGCCCGGCCGCCGTCTCGTCGTCACACTACATTCGCTCCATATCATGGAACGCGTCGGGCACCTTTATCGCGACGGGAGCTGCAGACAAGACGCTGCGCATCTGGAACCCCGAGAAGACCAATGTTAAGAACTCGACCGAGCTGCGCACGCCAAATGTGCCCCCTCTCACCAACCTCGAACGCGTCTCCTTCCACCCCATCAACGAAAACGAACTGGCAAGCTGCGGCTCCGATGGCATGGTCCGATTCTGGGACATCCGCTCCAAAGCCAGTGTCGGCGAGGTCAAGGTTGGCGAGCAGCCATTTACCCTTGCATGGACCCCTGATGGCAACGACATTGTTGTGGGAAGAAAGGTCGCTGTCCTAGCCGTGTGATTCTGGCCATGTGTATTGACTGTTTGCAGGACAACCTCCTCGTCAACGTCGATCGGGCAGCCCTCAGCATCGTCTCGGAACATCGCCAGCCCCTCCAGACCAACCAGTGTGTTTTTGACTGGTCTGGCAACCACCTCTACTCGACCGCCGGTGATGGCAGCGTAAGACTCCTGCGATATCCATCGTTTGAAAACGCCCTCACGCTCAATGCCCATACTTCGGCATGTTACGCTATTTCCATATCACCCAGCGGTGAGTACCTGGCCGCTGGCGGTGGAGATGCATTGGTTTCGCTTTGGGACACACAGGAATGGATTTGCGTGAGAACCTTGGAGTTGGCTGGAGGCCTCGTCAAGACGGTTGACTTCTCCTTTGACGGCAGCTACATCACAGCGGGCTCGGACGATAAGGAAGAAAAGAAGATCCGCATTGCACACGTTGAGACGGGTGAGATTGTCCATACAATCGATGTTCCAACACCAGCAGCCCATGTCGCATGGCACCCTTGCCGGTATATATTAGCCTACTCAGCCGACAACCTTGGGCTGAAGATTATTGGGGGGGTTAGTTGAGCTGCAGGGAAGCAAAGAGGAGAGGAGTTCGCATCAGTTTTAAAAGCGGAAATGATACCCAATTGTTCGAGTTATGCGCGTGGCATTTTTTTTGTCTTTCAGCCTCGGCCCTGTTCTCTCCGTGACGCAATCATGTCACCCAATTTCGGCATAGCAAAGCCCCGAAATTGACTTGCACCTACAGAAGCCGCTGGTTTCGAGGCAAGATTCACACTTCTCATATAATTAACTCGCATCAGGTCGGCCATTATGGACGTGACAGCGCCGATACAGCCAAGCAATCTCTTCTCCGCCAAAGGACTGGTAGTAGTCATTACCGGTGGCGGAAGTGGTACGTTACATAGCTTTCGTACCCCGCCATACCCCGCGCTGCATCTTGATATGTACCTGTACTTTTGGCCAGAAGCTCACCGCTACAGGTCTTGGACTTGCCATTACTTCCGCGCTCTACCAGAACGGTGCCGAGAAGATCTATATTCTCGGTCGCCGACAAGAGGTACTTCGCAATGCTATCAACAAGCTCCAATCCGACACGGCATACAAGCCTCACAGCACCTCCATCCTTAAAGACATAGTATGCGACGTAACCAATCTCGAGTCTGTAAAAGCTGCTGCCGCGTTTATCAAGGAAGACACTGGCTATGTAGATGTCCTGATCAACAACGCTGGCGTCATTGGCCCAAGGAATGGACAAGATATATACAAGGCAGAGTCAATCCAACAGCTGGCAGACACAATGGTAACGGGCTGGGATGATTGGGGCAGTACCATGGCCATCAACACCCAATCCGTCATTGGTGTATCGGCAACTTTCCTGCCTCTCCTCGAAGCAGCCAACACGCGACGCGGATGGGCACCTGGGAAAGTCACGGGCACCGGCAACCCTCGCCAACGCGACAGCTCAAAACTCTCTCAGAGCGGCATTGATTGCGACGACGACCGCATGGCCCACATCATCACCGTCGCATCCGTCGCCTCATACATGCGCTGGATCTCGGCTGGCCTCGCCTACAACGCCAGTAAATCCGCCGCAGCGCACATGGGCAAAATGATGAGCACTTTTCTATCCGAATGGGGCATCCGGAGCAACATTATCTGCCCTGGCCCATACCCCAGCGACATGACGGTCGGCATCAAACCTGTATACGGCACAAACCAGATCCCGCAGGGGCGAATGGGCAGTGTAAGCGACATCGCAGGCTTGACACTGTTCCTGGTGGGCAAGGGCGGTGCATATATCAATGGAACGACGCAGCTTACCGACGGGGGGAGACTGGGCATGTTTCCGGCTACGTATTGATCATGGCTAGATTGATGAGACCTTGTACCGGATGAGAGTTGAAAAGGAGGAATTGAGCAGACAGGTGGGGGATACTTTGACCAAGAGTGAACAAATACAATCGACGACCAAAGCTCAGTCAAGTCATGCCTCTTGACCAAACTCTCTTACATCTAACTTTCACCCCTTTACCCCATCCCGAAGAACAGTGCTTCGTTGCTTCCCCTTCTCCAGTTGCTTTTCAAACTCCCTGTCTGATTCAACCCTGAACAATGCTTATTTTCCTTGTCTCCCGTTATCTTTCTTACGCCCTTTACATTCTCTTTCAGAACATTCAGTTAGTATGTATAACAACAGCACTGGAGAATTTCCCTAGATGAAATAAAATAAATAACTCAAGTGTCGCACGTGTATAAAAACAGTGCCTCGAATATGCTTTTTTCATTCATTCACATGTAGTATCATTTCTAACCTGACAGAATGCTTAAACGCTCCTCCTACTGGGTGAAGAAGCAATTGCATGACACTGCCTGAGGCAGCATGGATATGATACGCAAAACGATGTCTTCCTTATTCATAAATCCTCGTCACACACACCACAGGTATTTGGACCCCTTCCTTCAGTCTTCCTGGAAAGCCAGGGAGACAGCAAGACCTAGCACATTTCTCTGCTTCTAGACGTGATCGGCTCTTGCTCATCTCGTATCTGGCCTCTTCATAGGCGTTTGGGATTCCTTTTGCCTTCTGAATACTTTCCCGGGGTTTTTCTCTTTGCATGATTCACCTGAAAGGCCTGACGTGTATGATTTTCCTACAATCTTCCCAGCACACCTCGTACACTTCCCTCGAGTACCACGTTGCCTTTTACGCTCAGCTCACCGATGCCCGTTTGACCTCCTGAACCTTCGTTGAGCCAGCGCTGAAGCAGCGTATTGCTCTCCATTGGCTTGATATTCGGGGCTGCAGTGCCAACAGTGACGTGTGCAACGGGATTTGCCGTTGTGAAGAGCAGTTCCTCGGTTGTTGTGCCAGCCTGACTCTCAATCTGTAGGGTACCGGAGCCATTCAGTCGCACCACGAAGCACATGATTCGGTCGTCCCAGATTAATCTCTCCATTTGTACATCGCACTTGCCCAGCTCTGGTTCCCAAGAGCCTTCAGAAGTTGTCGACTGCACAGTTTCGTGGAGCTTGATGAGCTTGTCCCAGTACTCTTGGTTTTGCGGTGCAGACGCGCGATGGATCAGAGTAACGTGGAACTCGTTCTGGACGCGCCGGCTCTGCTTCAGTTGGTTGTACGTACGGGCAGTCATGGCATCTTTGTCTTTAAACAGGGCGTCGAGAATCGAGTTGACGCGTTGAGTGTTGAGGCGAACAGAAAAGTACTCCATGCGTGGAGCCTTTTTCGGTTTTGCGGCTGGCTGAGATTTTTGAGAGATTTGATTTTGAGCGTTCTGATTGTTTCTCTTGTTGTTGCCTCCTGATAAATCCATCTTGAAGTCTGGCTTATAGTCGTTCATGGCCCAACTGATAGCAGCATCCATATCGGGATCAGTTGGCATCTCCTTGCCCGCAAATAGAGCTGGGTAAGTGTCGAACATTTTTCCAATGATTGTTTCCAGATTTTGGCGAGAGTCCTTGGTAGGGTCCAGGTCGATGACCAGGTCAAACAGATCGTCCGGCGCATCCGAAGGGTCAACTGGCTGAAAGCGATGCATGAAGCCTTCCATGATCTCGATAATCTCATTTGGACCCTTGGAGCCTGCCTGAATGGTCTGATGGTTGTCGCCACGGTCAAGTACACGTCTCCGCGTCGCTTCTCGGATGCCATCGTAGTTGGACCGGTCATGAACGTAGTGCAGGGCGACGAAGCGCGCATCTGGCACGTTTTTGGAGATATCATTGATGAGCTGATCTCGCTCGCGTCTCTGGTGATTGTTACGATCTGCAATGACGACAGGGTTTGTGACTAGCAGTGAAGAGACGGTGTCGGCAAAGACCTGGCCACGACCCTTTTTGGCCTTGACGTTGTCGTTCTGAAAGTGGCCCCATCCGAACAACTTTACGAGAGCGAGAGCCAAGGTTGTCTTTCCGCAGCCAATGGTTGCAACGGGAACAAGTACAATATTCCTGGTAGCATTCTTACTCTCGACAGCTCCGTTCTGCAGCTCTTGCCGGATAATCTCAGCACCGGTGGTTCCACGCGAGGCCAAAAACTCGTCGCGCATCTTGATAATGCCGTGGTTCGCATTGTAATCCTTTGCTAGAGACTTATTCTGACTGAATTTCCAGCGAGCAAAGTCAAGGTACTCCTTGGTGATTGCCTCGTGCTTCTTGTAACGCGGCGGCTTACCGGCGATCAGAGCTCGAGTACACTCACGCCACTGACGGTACATGAGATAGGGCTCTTCGAATTTGTATTTGAAGAACCAGTCAACGTAGGGTGCGCCTTCGGACTCGCGTGCCTTGCAACGGATGACAAAGCCTTCTGTGTCGCGTCCCTCGTAATTGCCTGTCTCGGCGACCTTATCTAGGAAAGCCTTGACTTGCCTAATGTCATTTTCCATTACGTACGTAACCTTCTTCATGCCCCACTCATCAGCAAACCTGTCGACTAGATGGCCAGGGTATGTAGCGAAGTCGGGCAGGTTGAGATTGATGCCGTGTACGTAAAGACCAGCCTGCTCGGGAGTATATGCCAGCACGTGCTCCTCAAATTCGTCATCGCATAGCTCTGCTACCAGCGTCGCGTTCATGGATCGCAGCGTGCGCGCCAAATCTGCCTTGGTCTTGCCGACCGATGCAACATGGCGCTCAACCCACTGCTCGCCTGCGCAAGCATGGCTGAGCCCTTCTTCCCTGGGGCCTGTCGAGTGTTTGCTGCATACCAACAGCGTGTCGTCGTCCAGGCCAGCTATGAAGATGATGCAGCCGTTCTCCTTGACACTGAGCTCGTACGGGCCCCGCGTGTCGCGCTCGACATTCTTCCACTCTGTTTTCCGAATCTCTCCGTGGTTGAAAAACTTGTCGTATCCTCTAACGGCAATCTCGTGGTTGCCTTGCAGGTTCTTGTATGTGAAGAGGCCGCGCGCATAGGTGGGGAGATTGGCCTTTTTGTAGTCCCACTCGTTCATCTTCCATGAGTTGACAGTGCGGCCATTCGGGAGTGGGAACGTGTGTTGTTTGACGGAGAAGCCACCGCTTCCCTTCTTGCCCGTGTGTGCTTCCAGAGTGTGCACCAACTCGGCAATTTCTTTCGGGTCTTGGGGCGCATAGGGCGCTTGATCGCGGTGCGCCATGATAGCGGTCGATGCGAAAAAACGGGCAAACACGGTCCGCGTCTGGGATCGGAATGAGGCTTGGGTGCGCTCGAGGGAGGGAAAGGAAATCTGGGAAAAAGTCAATTGTAAGCCAGAAGTGACGCGTTGTAGTACGGGGGAAAAAGCGCAAGAGCGGGGAGAAAGTTGTATAAAATGAGCGAGCATGGAGGCGGCCAGCACCAAGATAGACTAAGTGTGCAGTCGCGATGAGTCAGTCGGGAAAGGGCGCTGCATACCAAAAACTCAGCTCTCCGGAGCGAATGTGGCTGTGAAAAAGGGCGACGGCGCGATTCAAATGAAGTCAGTCTGGAGTCATGGCGACGATTGTGTGCGGGACCTGCGATGAGATCACTGCCTGGTGTGGGTGCCTGACTCCCGCGGGGCGGGGCCCACGCTAAACTTGATCGGGCAGCGCCATCTATGTGTATGTGTATGCTCGATGCAAAGACAGTCATGGCAAGTGTTAACGAGCTGTGCATTTTTGGTGTTTTTGCTATTTTCGTAATCTACCCACACGCCTATACAGAGCATGTACTTGTACGTAGCCTCGCTACACAGACATTTCCCAATCAGAGCTTCTTAACGCCTTCAGCCAGCAGCTTCTCCACCTCATCCTTGTGGCTGGAAAAGTTGTCGACGAGATTATCCCTATGCCTGAGTCAGCCAAGATTCGATGTATCAGCCACTAGATTCGACTACTCACCACATGCTCGGGTTGTGCTCGTGCTTCTTGCTGCTGTTCCATGCCCAGTCGGTAATGGAGAACATGCGCGAACTCTCCATCATGAAAGCGATTGCGCCCTTTGAGATTTGCATCTCAGGCGGCGGCTGCGCGCTCGCTGCCTTGAACTTGAAGCTTGTCAGAAACGACTGCCACGAGCCTGTTAAAACCAAACATACCTCCTCATATGCAACACCGTGGGGCACAAAGCCGCACTCGAAGCTAACACCTCCGGGCTGGAACTCGTCTGAACGACCCGCGTATTCGCCGTAGATCAAACCCATGAGCTCAGAGGCTCCATTGCGGTGGTAGTATGGTGGACGGTAGGCTAGGCAGGGGTCAGCTTCACTCTTGTCTATCCCATGTTTAGAACGCACTGTGAGAAGCCACGTCCCATCGCGGGCTGAAAATCAAAAAGTCTGCCAGCGGCGCAGCCGAATCGCGAGAGGGGGCCGTAATGACACAGAAGATGGACGGGTCAATGTGGTCAACCGAGATGGAACCAACGTTGACAAACTTGGTCAGGTCGTACTTGTACGGCACATAGTTGCCATGCCACGCAACAACATCAAATGGCGAGTGCTCCTGCTTGCTGACAAAGAACTTTCCAGCAAGCTTGTACACAATCTCCCATGGCGCCTTTTCAATCTCGTATTTGGCCTTGGGGTGCAAAAAGTCACGAGCATTGGCAAGTCCATTCGCCCCCAGAGGGCCCAGCTCTGGAAGTTGGAATTGTGATCCCCAGATTTCTGCAACATGTCAGCTCATGCTAAGCAGACTTGAACATCAAGCCGTCGTACCCAGAATATAGCCTCGGGTCGGACCCTCGACCTTGACCTTGAATCGCTGTCCGCGTTGGATGACGCAAATCTCGCCTGGCTGGACATACATGGGCCCAAATTCAGTCAAAATGTCCAGAGGACCCTGCTGGGGCACAATCAAAAAGTCGCCATCCGAGTTAACAGCGGCCCTCCGTTCCATGCTCGCATTGCACAGATACGTATGCACGGCTAGACCCTCCCTGAGAGTCGGGTCGCCTGAACCGGCAATAGTCTTAAGACCGGAGATGAAGTCGACATTTCCACCAGTGGGGATGTCAAAGGGCAGCCAAGCTAACTGCGTAGGCGACACATGGACGCGCTTGTTCAAAGGAAGGAAGTTTGACTCGGTGTCCTCGTTATCCGGCAAGTCAGTCTGGAAGGAAAAGGTCAGCGTACGTCATATGTCACCGCCACTTTGATATCGAGGCACTATGCTATGCATATTCGCCTTCCGTTTCTTTTTCTTTTGCAACATGACGGTCACGATGTCCCGCGAAAAGGCGCTTACGATGACGTGAGGCACATTTCACACCTCAGGCTCACCGATTAGCAAAGGAGATGGGCGCTTACAAACCCTTGGTGGGCAACGGCAGGCCGCGCTCTGTATAGGTAGGCCTGAAACTATACGTCAGCCTCTATAGCAGTCGGCTTGATGCATTCTCACAACATTTTTGTTCAAGTGTCTGGGGGCGACGAATGCAGAGCCCGTCATCTGCTCGGCATAGAGTCCAAATCTGACATTTCTGGGGTTGTTCTGGCCTTGGGGTATGGTGCCTTATTTTTTCCCGACCAGTCCATTAGCCTGCATGCAGTAGTGTGTGATGGGTACGGGGGGCTTTCTCACCTGGCACCGCCTCGGATTCAAAGACGTTGCCGAAGCCAGATTGATACTGGGGAAACGCAAGTCGTCAGCAGGGCAAAGAGGAAGACGGGCGCGTCGGCGAATGCGCTCACCTCATAGGGGTCATTTTTCCTGGTAGCAAAGGACGGAATGGCGCCGTCCTTTTGGGTCTCTGCCCAGTGGAAGATATTCTGGTACTGTTTGGGGTCTTGCAACGGTTCAGGCATGGTGTGTCGTCTTAGTTGGGGTTGGCGGCCAAGGGTGTTTGCAGCGTGATGGTCAACGAGGCCAATGATGCAGACGAGGGAAAGGCTTCACCGCTACTTGATGCGAGCGTGGACGTGGGTAGATGCATCTGAAGAAGAAGAATCGCTGAGCAACTGACGCTACAAGTAGTGTACCATCCCCCATCGGCAACCCCCACCACATGTCGGCCCCACAACGTCTCATGCAGAGGCTTCTGACGCATGCATTGTGCACCCAACCACCACCAGTCCGGTCAGATTAGCCTGCACGAGCATTTGGAAGATGCATTGCCCAATCATTGCGGTCGGCGGCCTCGACACGAAGGTGGATGTTCAACACTCGGGCAACATTGCGGCGGTTGCGTCAGTGGTGCGGTGCGAAGACGCCGAGGGGGACAGGTGGAGGAGGGGCAAGTGAGGTGGCTCCACGGCTTGGCGCAACACCCATTCGCTGCCGTTGAACTCTATCCGACAGGCCAAGTAGCGAGTATCACTATGTATCAAGTTGAAGAACCGGAGGTCCGGGAGTACTTAGCAGACATGTCGGCCGTTGTGCCGAGGGCGTGTTGGAGCCGCAATCGGAAGACGCGGAGCCTCGCCATGCTGCATGTTACTGCGTACTACGCGCTATACAGTGTATATAGTAGACATGGGTAGATTGTTTCCCCAAATCTGCTTACATGTACTCACTCACTCCAGTTGCAGGCATGGTGGATTGGGTCAGTCCGAGTTGATGCAAAGAGAGTTGTGGTCGGGCCTGTGTCGACGACGGCTATGGGCAAATGGCTTCATGCAGCTAACCCCAAGCCTCAAGCAAGACATATGACACGACGCAAGCTGCAGCCGTCCTGCCTCACTCTTTTTTGGCGACGCCGTGGCTCGACTGCTGACGATGCAAACGCCACAAATAACCTTTTTTCCAGCCCTATGCTCTCGTGCCACAACAGCCGAGAGACACCGGGGACGGACCTCGCCTACGTACATGCAACATATACACATGGACTTGGACCCAGCCAGCCATCCGCCCGTAACACGCAGCCCATGGCCATGACAGGGCAACGAGGCCAAGGGAAGAGAGTGAGAGGGGGGGGGGCAAGGAACGTAAGATGGCGTGGCAGCTCGGATGGCCTCGTGGCTATTCTGCCGTACATGGCAAGCTGACGACGAGCGGCGTATACCGAGTACCGGATTTTGCTGGCGTCGATATTGGGGGCGGGCGGCGAGAGACGGAGACAGGTTATGGGTGAGTATGTGAGTGTGTGTAAGAGAATCAATGGACGATTCCGAAAATAGACAAGCAAATGTATTGGAAATTTCCATCAAGCTTCTGACGCAGCGCCAAACCAAAAGGCGGATCTTGTGTGTACACGCAGCCATACATACATGTTACCAAGGACCTACTGGTAGCCCCCTGCAGGTTGATGAGGCGACGCGCGCACGCCGGTCTGGGTTTCATTTTGCACGCGGCAATCGTACCTATGTGGTCTGGTCTGGTCTGGTCTGATCCAAGTACTGTCGGGCGAAGAAGAAAACATGGTGTACTGTACAATACATTGATCATGCTTTGTTTCTTACCCACACATCCACACGCATAGCCACACCCACACCCACACCCACACCCACACACCGCACTTTTGGGTGTGTGTGTGTGTGTGTGCAAGTTGCCTTGGTTTGCATTCTACGCCATGGATGCTAGGACAAGCAAGACAGAGAGAGCACAAGGCCCGACTGGCTTCGGAACCCAACTCCGCACATGACCTCGTCTGAACATGGTAAAGTTGCCCTCGTTCTCCAGTGCGCGATTCGGCGCTACTACCCGTCTCACTCGTGATGACTACTACCCTCTTTTTGATTTTTCTTAGGCTACATACATGGACCGCCTATATATATCATGTCGTCATCGTTTGTCCTGCATAGCTGACAAGACGGCCGCTTGCTGCATGCCACAAGGGCCCAAAACGCGCGCTTCCCGCCCAATATTCGCTACTTGACCGAGAGCGGCATTATCCTTTGTGAACAGACGGGCCTTGGGCATTGCTTGTCGAGGGCTAGCGCGACAGTTTGCGTCCAGGAAGGTTGTCTCGCAAGCCCCCTCCATGTTGCTAACCACACACACACACACACTCACCCTCCAGCTTGCGCCTCCAATGGCTTGCGCATGGCCGTGGGCGTAAAGTGCGCGTAAGCGCTCATGGGTAATGTGTGCGGGGATATGCTAATTCGCTACAAGGGCCTCGTCCATCCTTGCCCGCGACGACACCACCACCACCACCACCACCACTACACAACCACCTTGTCCCTCGCCTCGCGATAACGTGTCCACAACTCGGGTGTGCCATGTAGATCACGAGTACCCTCCCCTCCCTCTTGCTCGCCATGTCCGCCCTAGCTGGCGACCATCAACCGTTTAGCAGCTATCGTTGCCTGTCCATGTTGCCCTCGCGCGATTCGACCAAACAGAGGGGCGACATGGGAGACAGGAGAGGGGCTCGTCTTTTTTTCCGTCTTGCGCGATTTGCGACGAGCTTGGCGAGCCGTTCGCATACAGAGTCTATGCACCCACCCGCCGAACACATGCGAACAAGTGCCATTGGATTGATCAGCGCACCTAACAAACACCAGGGCGCCTTTGCGGACCCTGCCTTTGATCGGCCCTCGCCCTGCCTTAGACGGCCGCTGACCCTGCGCTGATCGGCCTCGACCTGTCACCACCCCCATTGATTGTGAAGCTGCTGAAAAAGCAGTCCCAAGGACACTGGCTTGATAGAGCATGGCGAGGAAAAAAAAACAAAAGACAATACACCTACATACACCCAACTCTGAGTAAGCAACGCCAATCTATACAGATCGACACCCAGCCAAGACACGAGCCCGGCCAGCCTCGAGGCAAAAATCGGCCAAGTGATCATCCCCCGCCGGAGAGGCTAATCTCCAACCATGCCATAGGCTGCAAATGAGACACGCTCAGTCAATCTTGGGAACTGGTAGATTTGATATGTATGGTTTGGTGGAGAAGCCGCCTACTGCATTTCTTGCTCTGCGGCCAGGGTGGCGATAGGCCAAGGCCATGGCCATTGAAACGTTCAAATGCAGCGCCGTCATACACACCCGGCGCGCTACAGGGCAGTCTAATCGTCGCCTCATACGGGGTGCCGCATCCTCGACGCCCGCCCGTCAATCAGCTTGCAGCAATAAGAGGCGTGCAAAGAGGCGTAGATGTGACTATGCAGCGTGATGGAAACGGAGACATGACTTTGGACACATCCCTGAAAAGTCTTTGCGTATACGGGGCCAGCCTTCACATACCACGGCCATAGTACACAGCTTTCGCCACAAAGCCAACGCTTCTGTCTGTCCGACACGCGTCGCGTTGCGACGACCTCGTCGTACCTACACCATGCCATAGCCACAATCTCGAGCGGCGTGTCCGCAACCCTGCGAGCCAAGGCCTAGTCGCTCATCCATGCTGCGACGCGATTGCCTCCAAAGCGCGCCGCAAAACGGAGCCCTGATGAGCCCATGGGGAAGTACGACACGACGTACCAAAGAAGGGCAACCAGCTGGGCGACGGCCGCAACGAAGGTAAGAAGGGTGTTATGCAGCTAGTCACGCAGACATTGTCAGTACCGACGAGCAAGGCGAAGCGCAATCGATAACGACGGGCGTGGGGGAGGGGAGAGGAGGGGGGAAGGGGGCACGAGGACAAGGATTCTGGGCAGAATGCACCAGGGGCCCGACATGCAGCAGGGATTAATACACTAGAGAAAGCCGACTTACACCCAAGGAGAAGACGAGCGTGAGAACAATGCTGCCAAAATAAGCAGCTGTAAACGGAAGTCTCGGACCAGAGATGAGGTGTTGGACTGCATCATGGTCAGCAGTGGACAAGCAAATAGCCATGAGTGGGTGGTGGTGGTGGTGGTGTCGTCGTCGTCGTCGTCGCCGTCGCGCTTGTGCACGCAAGGCTTACTTACAATATTGTATGGGGCCCATCAGAACCCCCCAAGCGCCGAGAAAGAGAAGGCTTCCCATCGACCATCTGCAACCAGACCATGGTTGTTAGCACTAGCGTTCTTCAGGTGACGTGCATGAGGCTTGGCCGAGAGACCTGACTCGGCCAAAGGTTGTCTGCACCCTGCAGCGCGCCGAACCTTGGACCCGCATGATCGCTGCGGAGGGCCCAGTGCCGATGTTACAGTGGCTAGAGAGGTCAAGTGGCACATGGACTCGATTCGTCAAAGCTGCCGTCGGCAGTGGGCGCGCGCGCGCGGAGACGAGGTGCACTTTGAACGCGTTGCATGAGTTCGCATAGCCGTGCGGGACGATGAGCAGAACATGTGCCACTGGCCATCTGCCTGGCACCACCTCTGGCCAGGGCAACAAATAAGGGAAGGTTGACCGGGGCAGCGGCGGGGAGGGGAGGGGAGGGGGAAGCGGACGACTCACAATATGGCAAACTTGCGCGGCTTCACCAGGAAGACGGGCGTGAACATGAGCCCGATGCAGGTAGCAAACATGGCCAGGGCCGCCAGAAGCAGACCGCCAAACACGAGGAGCCGGTCCCAGCGACTTACTGCGGGTAGTGGTCAGCACAGATCGAGACATATAAGGCAGCATCAAGGTGCAGGGCTCGTGCATCTGAGATGGTGACGCAGGAACTGCCTTCTGTCACAATGCCGCCGGCTCGTTGGGCGGGCATGTCCGGGCCACGGCGAGGGGCAGATGACAGGTCCACGGCCATGGGGGAATAGGGAATCCCAGCGGTGTGCGAATGCTCATTTCAACATTGCCATGTGCTGCACATGTGGATGCGAGGACAAAGAAGCCTGGCTGTGCATGTGAAACTAGCCCCGAAGCATCGTCGTCTGATTAGGCCACGAGCCCCGGGCGGCCCTCGCGTCGGTGCTTGGGGGGGAAAAGGTATATAAGATCGAGGACATGGCGCAATCGACCCGGGGCAGCAGAGGGCAGCGGTGGAGGATGACGGGGGGTGTGTGTGTGCTTGCTGAGGAAAGAAGAGCGACTTGGGACTTACGCGCAAACCAGCCCTCCTCCTCCTCTCGCCGTGAGGGGGCGGGAAGGGGGGCTCCAGGGTTGGATTCGGTGGTAGGCAGGCGCACATAGCCGCCGTCGCCAAAGGGATTCAGGTTTTGTATGCGGTCGAGGAGCGAGGGGGGCGCGGTGCTCACGGGCGCCTGCGACTCTCGCCGGCTCCAGCCCAGCGAGTTCATGGATTCTCGGAACGAAGCGGACGCCATGGTGGGCAATGTAGCAGTCGGTGGGAGAGCACGCGGTGCTAGCGCCGGTTGTTGCTGTGTAGAAGAAACCTGCTGCGATACGGGCGTCGAGGGAGGATTCGCAGGCTAGTGCCAATGGGCCTTGGGGGGGTCGAGGGCGACTTGGGGTGTGGGCGAAGCTTTGCGAGAAGCCGCAGCAGGCGACACCGAGATATGCGGGTCTTGGTGTGCTAGGGAGCTGCCGTAGGCCCCGGCGCCTTTGACAGGGCTAGGCTGCGCTCGCAAGGTGCGTGATGCGCAGCGCAGGGGGGAGGCGGCGGCGGGGGGAGAGGGTGGATGCGTGGTGGGTGTGTGGTGGATGGGTGCGAAGGTGTAGGTGTACAGAGGCCTCTGCGTGGAGGAGTGCGCGTATCGAGCGGCGACGACAGCGGCAGCAGCACAGAAGCAGCAGCAGCAGCAGCAGCAGCGCAACTGTCAGGCCTCGGACGACGGACCGGAGGATTTCGTGCAGATGATCTGCCTGCGGTGGAGGAAGCGGAGGCCCAATGGCAGAGGTTGGACAGGCGTCTTGGACAGGACGACGGGTGGGCAAGGCTTGTGACGAGGCCGCAATGGCAGAGGGCAGCATGGAGCCAGCCTGTGGGCGGGGCGCCTGTGATTGGCTGGGCGGGGCGTGGACGAGAGAAGAAGGCATGGGGAAGCCAAATGGGCCGTGGGAGGCGGACTAGCGTCGGATAGGGGGCACTGGGGACGAGTGTATACTGCACAGTACTGTACGTCTTGCCTTGTCTGGCCTTGGTGGTGGTGCGGCGGCTGGGTGCCGGGCGTGTCTGGGTGTGTCTGGGTGTGTCTTGTCGTGTCTTGCCTTGTCTCGTCGTGCGTCGTGGGCGAGGGCTTTGCACGCGTCGGCCATTGTAGCGACTAGCGCGCGATCGCCTCCCGCTGCAGCGCACCAGCCTGGGTGAACCACGCCCCGGGCTAGGCTGCATGCGGCTAGCGCGCAAAGCCGCTCTCGCCCTTGGACACCCTTGGACACTCTTGGACATGCACGCCCACGCCCACACCCTCCTGCTCTTCTCGCGCCCACACCCATAAGCCATAGCCATCGCCATCGCCATAGCCATACCCACACCACACCCACACCCTCACCCACACCCCCCTCGCCCACACCCTCGCGCCGCCCTGGCCGGCGCGCTCGGCCAGGCATGCCTTGGAAAATCAAGCTGGACATGACGCTCCCGTCAACGGGCCCCCGAGCTGTGCCTGCTAGTGAGTCACATCGCGCGCCCTCTTCGACGCCTGGCAAGCCCGGGTAGCTGAGACACGACGGCCTGCGAGTGACCATTTGGGCCGGAGCGTGTCCGCACGACCAGGGTTGGACCACGGCCGCCGCGCTGGAGGCTTGCAGACGCTGCTTGTCGATGCCACCACCACGAGCAGAGCCACAGGCCAGAGGGCGAGGCGGGTCACATCGAGCAGAGAGCCGCGCTGCGCTCGCCAGAGTATATTATGCGGCCGTGTGCCGCCTCCTCCCAGGCCCCTCCAATCGTCCTCGCTGCCCGTCCCATTGCTGCTCTGCTGCTGTTATTGTTATTGTTGCTGCTGCTGCTACGCCCGCGATCCGTCGATACACATATCCGCGCCCATAGCCTGTGGAGCTTTCCGCCCCCAGTACCAGACATAGGATACCGTACCAGCGTCTGCCATACATACACACACCCTACATAGCTACATAGCGTAGTAACGTGCGCGGCCCACACCGGCCCGACTTTCCAAATCTCACCTCGCCCTACAGATAGTCGCACTGCGCGGCACGGCACTGCGCTGCACTGCACTGTGCCCCCCCTCGGTGTGCCTACGTCACTCGCAGCATCATCGCGCCTGGCAGCGGCTGTCGCCATCGCCCGCGCACACGCTGCGAGCGAGTGCGCCTTCGAGTGCAAGTCGCAGTCGACGTGCCCAGCTGCTGCACCGCATCGGCTAGCCAGGCCGTCGTTGCTTCTGGCTGTTTGCACCCCCCCGCCGCGCTGCACCTCTCCCCCCGCCGCCGCGCGCTGATTGGGCGGCTGCCGATAGCTGCTTGGCAGGCCGACTAAAGAGAACACCACCGTCTCTGACCGCCTTCCGGCCCACGGCGCCCTCGCTTGAGCTGCCCCGTCTCTTCCTTTCCAAGAGCCGCTGCAGCCATTCGACTCTCGACCTCTGCCCTGCCCTGCCCTGCCCTATCCTGCCCTTGGCCGCGCGCCCCCCCCCCAGCT